TTTTTTTCCAAAAGATTTTATTGATAATGGCAGGATAATTTATGGAGATAATAATACCCCACAGAAAGACTGAACCTTTGGGGCGCCTGGGTGGATCAGTCGTCAAGCATCTGCCTTCAGCTCAGGTCAGATCCTGGGGTCCTGAGATGGAGCCCCGCATTGGGCGGGAAGCCTGCTTCTTCCTCTCCCACCCGCCCCCCCCCCCCCCTTTGTTTCCCCTCCCCCCTTTTCCCCCCCTTTCTAAAAAAAAAAAAAAAATCTTAAAAAAAAAAAAAAAAGCTAGACCTTTAAACACTGAGGTTCCCAAACACAGCAGGGATTCCCAATCTCTGGGAAACAGAGTCCCTGCATTTCAAGGATCTGTGTGGCTTCAACCATGGAATTTCAGTAGTAACCAATGTGGGCCGGAGACTGGAAAGTACTCTCCAAATACTATGTAAGATCTGGGAGTGTAAAGGAGAGAAAACGGACAGAAAATTTAATTTTCCTGCCATCCTGTTAAATATTAACAGTTAAATATTTTGAACCTCACTCTTGATAATAATTACCTCTTGAGGCTGTCATAAGGCTTAAAGTGGATTCAGTCAAAACATGCTAATGACCCTCCACCCTCACCAGCCCCTCCCCGCCCCTCCAGTGTGGATCCTTAAGCCATCTTTTTGGATCCAGGGCCACATGATATTTCTGCTATACAGCTGCCATGGTATTTGGCCCTCATCTGACCTTCAAAGATTTTTTTAAATCACCTAAACAATTTCTTTTCCCTGTTCAATTTCAAACTAGCAGCTTCTTTGTTGTTGTTGTTTTTAAAGATTTTATTTATTTATTTGACAGAGATCACAAGTAGGGAGAGAGGCAGGCAGAGAGAGGGGGAAGCGGGCTCCCTGCGGAGCAGAGAGCCTGATGCGGGGCTTGATCCCAAGGACCCTGAGATCATGAACTGAGCCGAAGGCAGAGGCTTAACCCACTGAGCCATCCAGGCGCTCCTGCTGTTTTTTTGAATAACAGCTATATTAGGATATAATAAGCATACCATAAAATGGACTATTTATGGATTTTATTTACTTATTTGTCAGAGAGAGAGAGAGAGCACAAGCAGGCGGAGGCAGAGAGAGAAGCAGGCTCTCCGCTGAGTATAAGGAGCCCAATGTGAGGATGTGGGACTGGATCCCAGGACCCTGGGATCATGACCTGAGCCAAAGGCAGCCGCTTACCCGACTGAGCCACCCAGGTGTCCCTAAAATGGACTATTTTAAAGTATACAACTCAGTGGTTTCTAGTATATTCACAGAGTTGTGCAACCATCACCACTTATTCACAATATTTTCATCACCCCCAAAAGAAACCACACATCCAGTTGCAGTCATTCCCCTCCCCCACCCCAGGCCGTGGCAAACAGTAATCAAAACTTTCTCTCTGGGCGCCTGGGTGGCTCAGTAGGTTGAGCCTCTGCCTTCGGCTCAGGTCATGATCTCAGGGTCCTGGGATCGAGTCCCGCATCGGGCTCTCTGCTCGGCAGGGAGCCTGCTTCCTCCTCTCTCTCTGCCTGCCTCTCTGCCTACTTGTGATCTCTGTCTGTCAAATAAATAAATAAAATCTTTAAAAAAAAAAAACTTTCTCTCTATAGGCTCACTTAACTGGAAATCTCTATAAATGGAATCATTCAATATGTGGCTTTTTGTGTCACCTTCTTGATGTAATGCTTTCAAGTTCAGCCATGTTGTAGCTTGTTTATGTACTTCATTCCTTTTTATTGGCAAATTAGGTTCCATATATAAATACGCCAAATTTGGTTTATTCCTTCTTTTTTTCTGGTTTTTTTTTTTTTTTTTTTTTTAATGCAGTCTCTACACCCAAGATCGGGCCCAAATTCACTACCCCAAGATCAAGAGTTGGATGGGTTATTCTGCCCAATAACTACCTGTTTTCTGTCCAAGATGTTTCAACCTCTAAACTAACTTTCCAAACGCATGAGCTCTAGGCCATGAAGCCGATACTATGTCTCTTTTCCTCCCAAGGGAATGGTTTGTGTGCTATGTTTTAATATTAAAATCACTTTACACATTGTGTATACACCTTTTTGTAAATATATAAAGTATCTCTGAAAGGATATGTAAGAAACTGGTAAAATTTGTTGTCTTTGGGAAGGGGATGTAGGGGGACAGGGAAGGAAAACTTACTTCTTACTCTATCCTTTTTTTTTTTTCCCCTTTTTTAAAAGATTTTATTTATTTATTTGACAGAGATTACAAGTAGACAGAGGGGCAGGCAGAGAGAGAGAAAGGGAAGCAGGCTCCCTGCTGAGCAGAGAGCCCGATGCGGGGCTCCAGAATCCTGGGATCATGACCTGAGCCAAAGGCAGAGGCTTTAACCCACTGAGCCACCCAGGCGCCCCGTTACTCTTATCTTTTTTCACTCTATATCCTTTTGTAAATTGTTCAAAATAAATAAAAATAATAATTACTTCTTAAATAGTAAACAGTAAAAACCTTGAATAGATGTATGAGGCTTGTTTATTAGAAAAGGACTTCTTTTTAAAAAAATTTTTAAAGATTTTATTTATTTATTGGTCAGAGAGAGAGAGAGCGCACAAGGAGGCAGAGAGGCAAGCTCCCTGCTGAGCAAGGAGCCCAGTGTCAGACTCATCCCAGGAGCCTAGGATCGTGACCTTAGGCAAAGGCAGACACTTATTAAACAACTGAAATCTAATTTTACATGTACTAAATCTATTTTACATGTACTGTTCCATTTAATTCTCACGATAACCAACTTGCCCAGGTGTCCCTGAAAGGGACTTCTTAAATTATTACACTGACCATGCAAAACATACATAATTCTTGAGGTGACTGGGTGGCTCAAAGGGTTAAGTGTCTGCCTTGGGCTCAGGTCATGATCTCAGGATTCTGGGATCACACTCTATGCCCTGCGTCAGGCTACCTGCTCAGTGGGGAGTCTGATTCTCCCTCTCCCTCTGCCTGTGCTCTCTCTCTGTTAAATAAATAAATTGAATCACACACATATATTTTCACTCCTCAAGCCTTTATGACTGCTGTTCCCTTAGCTTGGATTGACCTTCTCTTTATCTTCCCTTTTACACCAATAAAATCTGAAAACTTGTGTAATTTTTCAATTTACAGAGCACTTTCAGATACAACATAATCTAATCTTCAAATGCAAAATAAACAGTAAGTATAAATATTTTTATTTTCATTTAATAAATAAGAACATTGAGGCTTAGAAAGTGTAGCAGCTTTTCCCAGATCACAATTACCACATTTCAGAGCTAGAATTCAAATCTATAATTTCTAACAAGTTAAGTGCTTTACCTTTTCTTTTTTTAAGCAATGAAATCCTATTTCTTTAATGGGGCAACTCAGTAAAAATGTACAAAGGTGTTTACTAGAGTGTCGTGTAATTTTTTTAAAAAATATTTTAAGTTATCTCTACACCTAAGGTGGGGCTCCAATTTAAAACCCTGAGAGCAAGAGTTGAATGCTCTACCAACCCAGCCAGCCAGGCCACACAAGTGTTGTGAAATAACATTACACAATAAATACTACGCACTTACTAAAAATTATGATGTAGATCTGTATTTACCATGGAAAACTTGGAAAAACATGCATGATATTGTATACAATGAGAAATGCAACTTAAGAACAGAGGTACAGGGGCGCCTGGGTGGCTCAGTGGGTTAAAGCCTCTGCCTTCAGCTTGGGTCGTGGTCGTGGGGTCCTGGAATCGAGCCCTGCACCGGGCTCTCTGCTCCGCGGAGAGCCTGCTTCTTCCTCTCTCTCTCTGCCTCTCTGCCTACTTGTGATGTCTGTCAAATAACTAACTAAATAAATCAACCTTAAAAAAAAGACCAGAGGTACAAATTTAACACTCAAAGTGTTTACATGTAGTAAGAAGCTGGAAGGATATACGTGAGTGTTTTTTTAAAAGTCAATACTCTAAAATTTTGTGTATTACTAATAGATAAAACACGTTAAATGCTTACTCTGTGCCAAATGCTGGGCTAAATCTATTTTACATGTACTGTTCCATTTAATTCTCACGATAACCAACTTGCCTAAGACCTTGCTGCTAAAAATGCAGCTGAACTGGGCAAGTATCCGACCCAAAAGCTCATGCTCTTTGGAGCCAGCTATTATCATCCTGTCTCAGATACGAAGATCATTTATTTCATAATCAGAGAAACCCGTGAGTTTAAGAAAATTCCTTTCAAAACTCCACTTCCCCAGGACTCTGAATTCCCCTAACGATGTTTGTCTTACAGCACCTGGGGCAATCTCATTAGCATTTAATTTGCTGGGTTCCTCGGGGCGGTCAGGCCTGAAACCCAAACCCAAGCGTTCCCTACGTGTTATACGGAAATGTGCCCCTAACTCGTCTCAAGGAGAACTTGAAATGAGAAGTGCTCACACGATATTAAGAATTTCTTTCTAGGGGCGCCTGGGTGGCTCATTGATTTAAGCCTCTGCCTTCCGCTCAAGTCATGATCTCAGGGGCCTAGGATCCAGCCCCACATGGGGCTCTCTGCTCAGCGAGGTGCCTGCTTCCCCCTCTCTCTCTGCCTGCATCTCTGCCTACTTGTGATCTCTATCAAATAAATAAATAAAAATCTTAAAAAAAAAAATTTTCTTTCTAAGAAATGCTGAGTCGGGCCAAAACCGAGGCCTCTTCATTTCCCTCTCACATGGCTGTCTCCTTGCTTGCACCTTCTTTATCCTCTCTCCCTCCGCAGCCCTCTCCCCCACCCCAGGCCGGTAGCCCGAGAGTGTCCTCGGTCCCAGGCCTGCCCCAGTTAGCCGCCACCGCAGCCGCGCTCCTTCTCTCAAGAAAGGAACAAGAAGGAGGCCTGGAGCGTTCCTCCACGTGAGCACGGGGGCGGCCATCTCGCGTTCTGGCAGGAGCTGTCTGCGGGGCCTGAGCCGCAGCCCGACCTGCCCGTACTCAAGATGGCTTTCGCGGAGGGCGTGGCCAGCGACTCGGAGGTTCCGAAATGGTGAGGGATCATGGCGGCGACCGAGGAGCGGATCCCGGAGGACAGAGGAGAAGAAGAAGAGGAAGAAGAAGAGGAAGCAGTGAGTGGCACGACCGCGGCCTGCGCGGCGGGGGCGGCGTGTGGGGCAGCGAGTCGGGATGCGGCTGGCGGGAGGGAGAGCCCGGGCCTCGGGCCTAGCTGCCAGACGGTAGTGAGAATGGGGAAGTAGAGGACGTTACCTTAGGCAGCATCGCTTGCCTCCTCTCCTTGAAAGCTGGACCTGGTGCTCGCCAAGGTTGGGATCGCTGCAGTGGGGATTTTTGGCTTCGCTTGTTAACTGCCTCTTCCTGCACACTCTGGCGCTAGCACGTTAACGCCTCTTTTTCTTCCACCAGGAGCAGTTGGTTCTGGTGGAGTTGTCGGGCATTATTGATTCAGAGTTTCTATCAAAATGTGAAAATAAATGCAAGATTTTGGTGAGTCTAATAGCATTGGGGGCATTTCCGTAGATTTTCTTACATTTAAACAAGAATGAACAGTGAAACACGTATCCCCAAAGATCTATTCCTCGTGACAAAGCGCTGGATGCTAAGGACAATCAGAGAGAAGCACAGAGGGACTATGGGAGCAAATGGGAGAAAATGCCATAGTCGGCTTGAGTGTCTGAATGTGTGCCTGGGAGAGTTAAAGATTTAGAGGAGTTAGCGTTTTGTTATTAACCAGTATATTTCGAAAAAAATTCACTGTTTTAGATAGTGAGCGGGGAGAGAAAACAATGCAGACAGGCTCTTCCTATATGCATGCAAAGATTAACTAGAGAAGGGAGGCAACCTAAGAAAAGACTTTCAAGACCTCACACTCTGCTGTTGACTTGAGCTGTGGTGTCAAGTTACCATCTGTTTTTATCACTTTACATAAAAATCTTTGAGCTACTGTTGACAAAACTTTTTCTGTTCTTACCTTAACTTGAAGAGGATGTTGATTGAAATACAGCTTGCTGCTTGGCTATGAATGCAGCATCCTTCAGATTGTAAGTGCAGTGATCAGAGCATTTTTAGCTTACCTTGCACTTGCTAGGACAAACTCCAGAGGTTCCCCAGTTTTGGAGATCACTCTCCTTGGTAGCAAGGCTCTTCGTTTTTTGGTTTTAATTGATATGTAATTGGCATAACATTATATTTCAGGTGTACAACATAATGATTTAATTGTTGTATGTACTAGGAAACAGTCATCGCAGTCAGTCTAGCTAATACCCATTTACAATTTTTTTTTTGTAATGAGTATTTTTTTTTTCAATTAAGTAAGCTCTGTGCCCAACATGGGGCTTGAACTCACAACCCCAAGATCAAGAGTTGCACGCTACAGACAGCTCACCAGGCACCGTGTTGTAATAACTTTTAAGATGTTACTCTCTTAGCAACTTTTAAGTGTACACTATGGTATTATTAAGTAGAGTAATGCTGCACATTACATCCCCAGGACTTATTTATTTTATAACTGAAACTTTGTATCTTTTGATTACCTTCACCCATTGCACCCAACCCCTCAAGGATTTTTTTGTTTTTTATAGAGGGAGAGGGAGAAGCAGAAGGAAAGGGGGAGGGAGAATCCTAATCAGACTCTATGCCCAGCATAGAGCTCCAGGTGGGACTGGATCTCATGACCCACCCTGGACCGAAATCAAGAGGGGGATATGCTTAACCCACTGAACCACCCAGGAGCCCCTGCAAGGCTTTTTCTAATGATGATTTTTTTTAATGACCCTGTATTCTGTTGCAGGGAATTGACACTGAGAGGCCCATTCTGCAAGTGGACAGCTATGTCTTTGCTGGAGAGTATGAAGGTAGGAGGCTGTCAAGGATGAAACTCCTTTTTTTATATGCTTTTCAGAGAAAGTTACTCTTATTTCTCAACAAATTGCCTTCAACTTTTCTGCAGACACTCTTGGGACCTGTGTTATATTTGAAGAAAATGTTGAGCAAGGTAAGTGTGTGCATTGCTGACTCAAATCTTTTTACTAGGAAATACTGCGAGCTTACTTTTGTACAGTAAATATTTAAGTTAAACATCTCATGTGCCCATTGTCTAGCTATATGAAATCCTACCATTTTGCCAGGTAGTTAAAATACATTCCAGATTATTTTGAAGCCTTGTGTATACCCCTCTCTAAACATATGCCTTTCCTCTGTCTTGATAATCACTCTTATGAATTTGATGTTTTTCTTTCTTTACCTGATTTTATATTACATAGATATGTATCCACAGACAGTAGTAGCATTTTTTTGTGTATTTTCAACTTGATACAAATTACAGCCTATTATATGTATCATTGTATATATTTTTTCAGGTACAGATAGGTTTTGAGATTTATACAATTGGTATGTATAGTTCTATTTTCCCTGTTGCTAAGTATTCTATCTGTGACCATACCACAGTGTATTCTTCAGTTACGAGATGTGCTGATGGCTTCTATTTTTACCAGTAATTATTAATAACTATGAAAATTTGTTGAATGCCTACTGTATGTCAGGCATTGTTCTAAATGCTACATGTATTAACTCATTTAATCTTCATCACAAGTCTGTGAGGTAGAGACCATGGTTGTCTTCATTTTACATTTGAAGAAACTGAAGCACTGAGAGGTAAATAACATTCCCAAGGTCATATATGAAGTAAGAGACAAAGCCAGGATTTGAACCCAGGGGGTGGGGTTCAGAGCCTGTGATCTGAACTACACTTACTAACTCACTGCAGAAATGCTGCCATGAGTATTTTGTGTCTTGTTGTGCATGGATGCAAAAATGGCCCGAAGATATACACTTAGAAATGGAATTATTTGATTGCTGAGTGTGTGTTAGGTTTAACCATGTGAAGTGACCCATTTGAACTGAATATGGACGGCTTCATGTGGTTCAACCTAATAGGTAGTGCTAGGATCCTTTCTGAAGTGTAGTGTCAGTGACCTATGGCAGCGTGTGGAAGTTTCCAGTGTGCCTCACACCTCCAGCTCAGAGCCTTACCCTCTCTCCTGCCTGCGCCCACGGTTTCCTGTAAAGCTATAACCCCGGGCAGCAGGTTTTCTCTCAGTCTTCTTTCATGATTGAGAACGTCCTCACGCCAGTCTGACTTCAAGTAGTAAATCTGACTTTGATGCTTCATTTTGAGTGGTAGAATCTGAGACTTCATGACCCTGTAAGGCCACATTCCTGGTCCCACTTCCCTGCTTCACGGCTGGAGCCTAGCAGGCTGATAGGTTTAACTTCATGCACAGCTTTGTGTTTTGGTCCTCTGGAGATGTTGTTTTGGGGTCTAGTTTTGCCTTCAGTTGTTAGGTATTTTATCTGTCATTTCTCTTTACTGGGAGCAGGAGGGATGAGTTAAATTTTGAACTTACAACACTATCTCACCAGGAAGTAGTTTAGTCTGACCCTTTAACTGGAATTACTGAGGCTTAACATGATTATTTGGTGTTATCAACAGTAAAATAATTGAGTTCATTTTATGTTCTAGGTGATACAGAAGGCAGTGATAAAACAGTGCTGAAATATAAATGCCATACAATGAAGAAACTCAGCATGACAAGAACTCTTTTGACAGAAAAGAAGGAAGGAGAAGAAAACATAGGTTAGTTCACTTAGTTCTCTGAAAGTAGGTGATTTACTATTGGCTTTGACAATGACACATGGCTGTCAGGACATACCTTGTAGTAACAACTATGTTTTATGGAAATCAGGAATGTTCCCTGAAGAGTACCAGATATACATTTAAAATTCATTTGAACTGTAGGGGCGATTGGGTGGCTCAGTCATTTGAGCTTCTGACTCTTGATCTCAGCTCAGGTCTTAATCTCATGGCTGAGTTTGAGTCCCATGTTGGGCTCTGCTCTGGGCATGGAGCCTACTTTAAAAAAAAAAAAAGATAAAAAAATTCATTTGAACTTTAATGTAGCAAAGGGCACTGGAGACATGGAAGAAATTTCTTATCTCCTTTGCACTGGAAATAATCGTGAGGAGTTTGTCAAGAAACTTGATAGATTTTCAACCCCTAGGGAATTCAGCAGCTACCACTACCACCCCCCCCAACTCCCATGATTAAGAGTTCTTTGTAAGTGGAGATGATAGAATCTGGATTCTCAAGTGAAACCCCAGAGGATCTCCTAGAAACTTGTGGCAGTGTGGCAGCCTTCCCCAGGAAGCTAATAACTGGAAGAGGCTGGCTTTATATGTTAGGGAGGGACTGTAAAACCACAGTTGTTGGACCTGAGTTTCTTTCTTTTTTTTTTTTTTTTTTTTTAAAGATTTTATTTATTTATTTATTTGACAGGCAGAGATCACAAGTAGGCAGAGAGGCAGGCAGAGAGAGAGAGGAGGAAGCAGGCTTCCCGCTGAGCAGAGAGCCGGACATGGGGCTCAATCCCAGGACCCTGGGATCATGACCTGAGCCGAAGGCAGAGGCTTTAACCCACTGAGCCACTGAGGCGCCCTATTTATTCTTTTTCAGAGAAGAAAGTTGTAGAATTTCCTTTTCTGCAGTCTTTAATAATCTAATAGGCCTTTGCGAAGATAATGGTATTTTGTTTAATTACGTAAATTAGTTAGCCAACCAGTCAAGGCTGTATTGGTTATGTATTGCTGCATAGTAAATTACCTCTAAACTTAACGGTTTAAAAACAACAACAACAAAGATATTTTCCACAGTTTCCATGAATGAGGAATTTGGGGATCAGCTTAGCCAGGCAGTTCTGGCTCGATGTCTGTCTTGACGTTGCAGTCAGTACGTTGGCTGGGTTGCAGTGATCTGAAAATCTGAATAGAAGACAGCTCCCTTGCATGGTTTGTGCCAGCTTTTAGCAGGAGGCCTCCATTCCTTGCCTCCCCACAGTACTGTTTGAGGGCCCTTCTGACATGGCAGCTGGCTTCTTCCAGATCAAGTGATCCGGGAGAACAAGGTAGAAACCACAATATGTTTTATGAACCAGCCTTACAAGTCACAGTCTGTCATATCTGCCATGTTCTGTTCATTATGGGAAGCGATGACACAGGGGCAGGAATACCACGGAGGTGAAGACCTTTGGGGACCAACTTGGAGGCTGGTGACCAACCACGGCAATATGCTACAGGCAGAACGAAATAGAAGGAGATGAGGTCCTCACGTTCTGGGAATTCGCCCTCTAAAGTAAATCACATTGAAACACACATATGATTGTGACTCAACACCCATTTCGTTCAATCTAAGTATCTGGAATGTGCCACGTATCATGATAAATATCAGAATAGGCTTGATGGCTTCAAGGTTTTGAACTTGGTGACTAGGGGAATGATGCTATTGCAGGGGAAACCAATGAGAGAATAGTTGAAGCTGACTAGAGAGAAAAGGACTAATCAGCTTTTGATAGAAGGATGTTTTATGTTAGTAACATGAGAAGACATGGCATCAGCTGTAAGGATGTTTCAACAAACTGTCACAGAAGAGTTGGTTTATGGTGGGGAATAGGAGCAGTGGGAAGTGTGAACAGGGTGGCAAAGGTAAGTTGCCGTATCTTAGAGATCTCTAATGGCTTTTTTTTTTTTTTTTAGATTTTATTTATTCATTTGACAGAGAGAGAGATCACAAGTAGACAGAGAGGCAGGCAGAGGTGGGGGAAGCAGGCGCCCTGCTGAGCAGAGAGACTGATGTGGGGCCCGATCCCAGGACCCTGAGATCATGACCCGAGCCGACGGCGGAGGCTTAACCCATTGAGCCACCCAGGCGCCCCTCTAACTGCATTTTGAAGATAACATAAATAGCTCAGGCTTGCTATAGAAATTAACGAGGATCCATTGAAAATATTTGAAGGGTTCATAGGATAAAAGAAAAAAATGACTAGCATTTTTTCTTTTTTTAAGATTTATTTATTTAGAGAGAGTGCACACAGGGGAGGCACAGGGGGGAAGGAAAAGGAGAGGGAGAGAGAATCTTAAGCAGACTCCCCACTGATTATGGAGCCTGATGCAGGGCTCAGTCCCACAGCCCTGAGATTGTACCTGAGCTGAAACCAGTAGTCAGATGCTTAACCAACTGAGCCACCTGGGCACCCCCAAATTACTAGCATTATTGAAACAATACTTGATTATGGCAGTGGGTGGGTTAGGGCTGTGACTGGAAGTATGAAAAGGATAACAATTTTTTTCAAGTTTTTGTTGTTGTTGTTGTTTTGTTTTTTGTTTTGGAGAGGTGTCTTATAGTTGGATGTTCCAACTCAAAATGACATGTCAGTGTTGAGTTGAAAGATGATAGGGTAGCATCATCTATTATGGAAACTGGGGAGAAAATTGTAGGGAAGTGAAAGACTTCTATAAGGCATGAGGTGGCAGTGAGAACTCAAATTATCTCAGTGAGTTAGGAATTGGACTCAGGGAAAGGGTCTTGAATAGTAACTGAAGTTGATTAGTTTTAGTGATTGTGTGTGTGTGTGTGTGTGTGTGTGTGTGGTGTCTCAATTATTTTTAAAAAAATTTTAATTGGAGGAGCACCTGGGTGGTTCAGTCAGTTAAGCGTCTGCCTTCAGCTCAGGTCATCATCTCTGGGTTCTGGGATCAAGCCCCGGGTTGGGCTCCCTGTTCATCGAGGAGTCTGCTTCTCCCTCTCCCTTTGCGCCTCTCCCTGCTTGTGTGCTCTCTCTTGCTCATGCTCTCTCTTTCTAATGAATAAATAAAATCTTTAAAAATTTTTTTAATTGAAATATAGTTTGATACACAATATTAGTTTCACGTGTACAACATAGTGATTTGGTAATTATATACATTACAAAATGCTCACCATGAATGTAGTCACCATATAGCTTCTACAATATTATTGACTCTATTTCACTTACAGTGATTTTGATGTTGCATATAGTACAGGCATTCCAGGGTTTCCATGTAAGATGGAAATAATGTGATTGTTTATCAGTAGTTATGGCACCATGTTCATTGGTTTATGTTGAGGCTTTAGTTTGACATGTATTCAAAGGATGAAATACTAAATTAAAGAGAGGGGTGCCTGGGTGGCTCAGTTGGTTGAGTATCTGACTCTTGATCTCAGTTCGGGTCTTGATCTTAGCATTGTTGAGTTCAAGCCCCATATTGGGCCCAACACTGGGCATGGAGCCTACTTTAAAAAAAAATTAAAAATAAATAAAAATAAAAAAATAAAAAGAAATATATGTAAGTAACTGAAATTCCTTTTACATATTTCTTTCTTGATTTGTCCTCCCATCCCTCACTAGGTGGTGTGGAATGGCTGCAAATCAAGGACAATGAGTTCTCCTATAGACCCAACATGATTTGTAGCTTTCTGCATGAAAATGAAGATGACGACGTAACTCCAGCCTCAGATAAATCTTTGGAGTTGGAAGACCAAGAGATTCCAACGAAAAATAATTCAAACCTGAGTTATGAACAAGAGAAATCACTGAACTTGGAAGTAGAGAATTCTGGTCCTCTAATTGATATCCCTTCTTCTGAGACAGAAGGTTATGTTTTTATGGAAACTCAAGATACTGTCTAGGAAATCACTCCTAGATGAAATGTTTCTCATTATAACTAATAATGAACTTTTTGGAATTTTTATATAAAATAATTGTGTAGCTTTCAGTTCACTCTATTACTGGTTTTGTTGACTATACGTGCATTTCTGATTATAGCACAGTTTCATATACTAGAGTTGTTAAGGACCAGATATGAATTGAATTTTTAAAAATCTGGTATAAATGACTATAGGGACCCTTCTTTAAATTTCTTTAAATTGGAAGTTTTATTAAGGTAAGTATATAAGTTTTTTTTATTGCATCCGTCACAAATTACTACAAATTTAGTGGCTTAAAATGATACAAATGTATTATTATATAGTTTTGTAAATCAGCTATCTGACACGGGCTGGGCTAAAATCAAGATGTTGGCAGGACTTCATTCCTTTCTGAAGGTTGAGGGATAGGGGAGGCTGTTTCCTTGTTCATTTAGTTGTTGGCAGATTTCAACTCTTTGCCATTGATGGATCAGTGTCCCATTTTCTTGCTGTCATCTGAGGGCCATTTCCAGCTTCTAGAGGCTGCCTGCATTCTTTGGCTTAGGGTCCTCTTCTCTTTAAAGCTGGTAAATCTCTTGCTTCTTTTGCTTCATCCTATCTCTGACCCACCTTGCTAATTACCTGACCCAGTATCTGTTCTTTCCCTAATTCTAATCCGAGAATTATTAGTGTGTATTCATATATGTTATCCATAGCATATCCATATATGTGTAAATATGTGGCCGTATGACTAAGTTCTGGCCAGTGATACGGAATTATAAGTGTTGAGTGATGGATGCTTCTGGAAAGTTTCCTTAAACTTTAAGGCATAAAGAGAGATGGGCCAGTTCAACTTCTCTTTTTTTTTCTGCTGGAACAAGGTGGCTAGAGCTTCAGCAGGCTTTTTGGACTGTAAAGAAACTTTGGAAATAGAAGCCATGAGTGGCAGAGCAACAAGATAGAAGTTTGGATCCTGATGTGATGCTGCCCTGGACTGCTAGGAATAAAGATTAATAACTCTTTTCTTTTTTCCCCATGGTGAAATGGCTTCAAGTTTACCTTTGGCATTGTTTCTCTGGAAATCTACTAGACAAGGTAATAATTGAATGTCAACTGTGATGTGAGGCAATGTTGTTTGTGATTAAAAATGACTCTTTATTGGGGTGCCTGGGTGGCTTAGTTGGTTAAGTGTCTGACTCTTGATCTCAGGGTCATGAGTTCAAGACCTGTGTTGGGCTCCACACTGGGCATGGAGCCTGCTTAAAAAAAAAAAAAAAAAAAAGACCCCTTATGGGTAAATTGTGTCTAGACCTGAAAGACTACGACAGCTATAAATGCCCATTGGAAAATACAGACTTTGTTTGTTTGTATTTTTAAGTAGGCTCCGTGCCCATCGTGGGGATTGAACTCATGACCCTGAGATCAGGAGTTGCATGGTCTGCTGACTGAGCCAGCCAGGTGCCCCAAGCACTATGTTTCTTATTACAAAGATTCTTGAAAGCAGCACTCATGGCTGTTTCAAGAGATGTTAGTTCTTGGGAAGCTGAAGTTTCTAAGCCAGCATGGCTTCTGCATGCACCCAAATGATCTTGTCTCCTTACACCTGAGCTGACACTTGGGGGCCAGAGTAGAGCCTCCTGTTGAAACAAGCGTTGTGCTGCTGTGCTGTTTCCTATGAAGTTAAGTGAGTCTGGTGCTGGGTTCATTCCCATAAGGCCTGTTGGGTCCTGTGAGTGTGAATGTCCTTCCAAACCTGTGACGACTTCTATTCGGGCAGAGAAGACACTGCAACTACCTACCTCCAGCCTTTACGTGCGAGAAATAACTTGTCTCTTGTCAGAGTCACTCTGTAATAGCCACACTTAATCGTATTACTACCTTACCCATTTTGAAAAGTAGAGAAAAGTACAAGGAAGTAGAATGCAAGATTCTTGAGATGTGTAATCTTGCTAAAGAAACTGATCTAGACTGATGTAGTGCTAACTTGAAGAGGATAATGAAGTCTTACATTCTGGAGAGAACATAATGTGTTTTAGTTCCTTACCTGTAAGTGAGAATAAATGTTTGGAATTTAGTAAAATAAATCTTATTTTTCAACTATGAAATATTTTGTAAGACCAGAACTTCACAGATGAATTTCTTCACCATTGATCTGCCTTACTGACTTACTAGAATTACTTACAAAGAATCTTGGAACTACAGTCTCCATGTAGCTGTCACAGTACTACTGATACCAAATGCAGTGGTTGGCTTTTGCTTACAAATAACGATATTCTATTTAATAGGATTATATTGCTAAGGTGTGCCGTGGGGAATTATTCCTTAAGGCCATTATGGAAATGTTGGGAAATCCAGGCACTTGTTCATTATGAACTATATAGTTGATCATAACAAATTTATTGACAGATATGGCCAGCTGAGTGAAATTATTGATGATATCATGTGGTTAGCTATTCAGTAGCAGCTGATAATTTTTTAGAATCTGTTTTCATTTCATTCTGTTCCCATACAAACCCACACAAGTTTCCTAATAATATGTCAGGCATGCATAGTATTTTCTTCCAGAAATGTCATTGATTCTCAAAATGGGTATGCTGTCTCTCTTTTATGACTTCCATCATTATATTCTTATGGAATAAGAGAATCCTGGGGTTTTTTGTTGTTGTTGTTTGTTTGTTTTAAGATTTTATTTATTGGGTAGAGAGAGAGGGAGAGAAAAGAGCACAAGCAGAGGGAGTGGCAGGCAGAGGGAGAAGCAGACTCCCCGCTGAGCAGGGAGCCTGATGTGGAACTCATCCCAGGACCCTAGGATCATGACCTGAGCTGAAGGCAGATGCTTAGCTGGTGGAGCCACCCAGGGATCCCAAGAGAATCCTTTTTGTAAAATTATCTAGAAGTACACATTATTGACTCAATACAGAGTGAATATACACCTTTCTTTCTTTTCTTTTTTTTTAAAGATTTATTTATTTATTTATTTGATAGAGATTACAAGTAGGCAGAGAGGCAGGCAGAGAGAGAGGAAGGGAAGCAGGCTCTCTGCTGAGCAGAGAGCCCAATGTGGGGCTCGATCCCAGGACCCTGGGATCATGAACCGAGCCGAAGGCAGAGGCCTTAACCCACTGAGCCACCCAGGTGCCCCGAATATACACCTTTCTTAATGACCACATCTTGTCATTTAAATGATAATTTTAAATTATCATTTTACAAAATGGATTTTTTTTTACAAAATTTTTTTTTTTTTTTAACAAAAATGATTCTGTGGTTTCTAGATACCGCTATGTATATTTTTTCTTTTAAAATTTTCTTTTGGGCACCTGGGTGGCTCAGTTAGTTAAGCCTCTGACTTTGGTTCAGGTCATGATTCCAGGGTCCTGGGATCTATTCCCATGTTGGGCTCCCTGTTGCATGGGGGAGCCTGCTTCTGCCTCTGCCTCTCTCACTTCCTCTCTCCCCTCTCTCACATGAGTAAATGAATAAAATCTTAATTTTTTTTTCTTTTTTGGGGGTGGGACAACTGGTACTTTGTTTTGGGTTTAATGTACCCATATTTGCGTATCATGAATAAGGATGTCAAGATAGCAAAAGTCCTAGTTTTCTCATATCCAACATAAGAGTTCTTTCACTATCATGTTTTTATAAACTCTTATTTTCTATTCATATTCCATGCTCCCATTTGGTGATTGTATTAGTTTGCTATTGCTGCTATAACAAATTACTACACATTTAGTGGCTTAAAACACATTAAATTTATTACCGTTCTAGAAGTCAACTTCTAAGATTAAGTTTTATGGGGTTAAAATCAAGATGTTGATAGGGTTGCATTCCTTGTGGAGACTCCAGGGAAGAATCCATTTTTTTATCTTTTCCAGCTACTAGAATTCCTTGGCTTGAGGCCCCAATGTAACATCTTCAGATTTATCTCTCACCTGCTTCTGTCATCACATCTCTAATTCTTACACTCCTGTGTCCCTCAGGGCATGGGATTCAGCCCCCCACTGGACTCCATGCTTGGCAAGGAGTCTGCTTGTTCCTCTCTTACTGCTCCTCCCCCTATCACACTCTTTGTCTCTCTAAAATAAATAAATAGATAGATAGATAAACAAAATCTTCTAAAAATTTAAAAATATTTTAGAAGCCCACAAAAGACAGAAAAATAATAGAAGACAAGAATACCAATAAAGAGGGCACCTGAGTGGCTCAGTGGGTTAAGCCTCTGCCTTTGGCTTAGGTCATGATCTCAGCCATTTCCACAGCCATTTTGAGCTCTACTAGTCTGAGATTTTCTACATCCAATGAAATATCTCCTGTCTCTGGAGGTGGAATACCCAAGAGAGGAAAGGCACAATATCAAGCGTAAGAAAAACCATCATATCAAAATAGGATTGAAAAAGAAGTACAGAGGGACGCCTGGGTGGCTCAGTTGGTTAAGCATTTGCCTTCGGATCAGGTCATAGTCCCAGGGTCCTGGGGTTGGGCTCCACATCAGGCTCCCTGCTCAGTGAGGAGTCTTGTTCCTCCCTTGGCTCCTTCCCCACGCTTCACTCATTGTTCTCTCTCTCCTCAAATAAAATCTTTTTAAAAAAAATTTTTAAAGGGGTACCTGGGTGGCTCAGTTGGTTAAGTGTCTGCCTTTAGCTCAGGTCATGATCCCAGAGTCCTGGGATCAAGCACTGCATCAGGCTCCTTTCTCAGTGGGGAGTCTGCTTCTCCCCCTGCCCCTCCCCCTACTCATGCTATCTCCCTCTCCCTCTCTCTCAAATAAAATCTTTAAAAAACAATTTTTAAAAACACTGAATATTGATTTTTCTAAATATGTTATAATCGTCAATGCAGTTAGTTGCTACATTAGGAGAAGTTCAATTTTAGTCTTCTAATTAATTACTGAAATTCTATTGAAAAGTTCTTTTTTTTTTAAATTCACTTAGAGGGGTGCCTGGGTGGCTCAGTGGGTTAAGCCTCTGCCTTCAGCTCAGGTCATGATCTCAGGGTCCTGGGATCAAGCCCCACATCGGGTTCTCTGCTCAGCGGGGAGCCTGCTTCCCCACCCCCATCTCTCTGCCTGGCTCTCTGCCTACTTGTGATCTCTGTCTGTCAAATAAATAAATAAAATCTTTATTACAAAATACCAATAAAGAACAGGGGCAACAAATAGAAAACTAATATATATGATAGATAAGAATCCTACTATATCAGCAATAATTTTGAATTGCAGTGCTCTAAATGCACCAACTAGAACAGAGATTATCAGAGTAGATCAAGAGACAAGATCCAACTAGTTATTGTCAACATGAAACCTACACTATATATAAAGACACATAAAGATTAAAAATGATGGAGAACAATATCATTGTAACACTAATCCAAACAAAGTAGGAGTAGCTGTATTAATTCAGACAGAGCCAACTTCAGATCAATGAAAGTTATCAGGGATAAAGAGGGGCATTATGTATTGATAAGGTGGTCAATTCTCCAAGAAGATATAACAATCATTAATGTGTGTGTCTTACAATAAAAGTGTTGAAATACTTGAGGCAAAAACTGATAGAACTTCAAGGAGATATAGATGAGTCCACTAATAGTTGGGGACTTCAGCAACTCTGTCAGAAATGGGCAGATCCAGTAGGCAGAAAATCAACAAGGACATGGTTGAATTCAGCAACTCCATCAGTCAACTGGACATGGGGGATATCTATAGCCTATTTCATACAGCAATAGAATATCCTGGGATCGAGCCCCGAGTCAGGCTCTCTGCTTGACAGGGAGCCTGCTTCCCTTCCTCTCTCTCTCTCTCTCTGCCTGCCTCTCTGCCTACTTGTGATTTCTGTCTGTCAAATAAATAAATAAAATATTTTTTTAAAAAAAAGAACACTATCTAGAAAATGAGAAGACATTCAGTGGGAGAAAATATTTGCAAATTGTATAACAGAAAAAGGTCTCATGTCTAGAATGTGTAAAGAATTTACATATAATCCACAATAAAAAGACAACACAACTTTAAAATTGAGCAAGTAATTTTAATAAACATTTTCCTAATGAAGGTATACATATAAATGGCCAGTGAGCCCATGAAAAGATTTCAACATCGTTTGCCCTCAGGGAAATACAAATGAAAACCACTTCACACCCAGGGATGGCTTAATAAAAAAGGTTGGACAAAATTAAGCAAATTTTGCTAAAGAGTGGAGAAATTAGAACTTGTTGATAGAATAGTGCTGCCCTGGAAAGATGTCCGTGTCCTAAACTTAGGGATCTGTGAATATGTTACCTTACCTGGCCAAAGGGGTTTTGCTCTATGATTAAGTTAAGGATCTTGTAATGGGGGATGATTGTGGATTATCCTGGTGGGCCACCTGTTTTTACAAGGCTCTTATAAGAAGGGTTTAGGAGTATCAGAGTCAGAAATCTGTGACAATGGGAACAGAAGTTCAAGTGATGCCTTTTTAAGATGGAGGAATACCAAGGAATGCAGACAGCTTCTAGAAGTTGGAAAAGGCAAAGAAACAGTTTCTCCCCTGGAGCTTCCAGGGGAATGCAGCCCTACTGACATCTTTTTTTTTTTTTAAGATTTTATTTATTTATTTGATAGACAGAGATTACAAAGTAGTCAGAGAGGCAGGCAGAGAGAGAGGAGGAAGCAGGCTCCCCGCTGAGCAGAGAGCCTGATGCGGGGCTCTATCCCAGGACCCTGGGATCATGACCTGAGCTGAAGGCAGAGGCTTTAACCCACTGAGCCACCCAGGTGCCCCCCTACTGACATCTTTATGTTATTTTACTTCTTTGGAAAACAGAAAAAAACAAAACAAAACACAACTTGTTTTAATTTTCCTTTTAAGAAACTACAACTGTGGAGTCACTCTGCATATAATTGGTAATGTTAAGAATAGGTAGGATTAATAAAAATTTAAAAAAAATGGGTAGGATTCACAAACTAAGAGATTAGAACCTGTAAATTTCTGTTACATAGGTGAAAATAGTATCAGTGAAAAAATTTTTCTTGCCCAATTTAATGCACAATGAACTCTGGTCATTAAAACATGATTATAGTATTCTGATCTAATGTCATTGAGATTCAGTACAGAAAGTTCAGGAAATATAATACATATAGCATTTTAAGTGTTTTACTTTCATGGGTAACTTAAAACAACATAAATTTCCCACGAGGAAGGATTAGTCTCTGTCACTGCTGTATATTTGCAAAACATTTCAACACTACAAACCCTAAAAGTTTCAAATGGGGCACTGGAAATGCTTTACTTTCATGAAAAAAGAATCTGATAGAATCTGTAACTGTAACTATGATCCTTATTCTTCATACAGAAAGCATGCTACTGTGACATTTAGCATTTTGGGAGATTCCCAGAATAACATCCGGTCCCTGAATGTTTTATTCCGGGTATACACACAGCCATGTCCATCAAGCTGGTACAGGCAGTATTACCTAGAGAGTTAACTTCCGGCCAAGAGACAAGGCAAAAATCTGTAACCGAGGCAACGCGGCAATGGCGAGGCGCCGCCAACAGCGCGGTCCCAGGAAGTGGCGTCAAGCGCAAGTTCCGTTTCTGCCTGTCCCAGAGCACTGGCCTATCTCGCGAGACCGGGAGGCACACGTGCGTTCCTCGGGTTCACGTTGCGGTAGCCATGGATGCTTTGGATCGAGTTGTGTAAGTGCGCTGGGTCCTCTCTTTGGGGGACGCTGGAGAGTGGGACTCCTGTAGTGCGGAGGAGTGAAAAAGTCTCCGCTCCGCCTGGTTTCCCCTCGTTCCTCCCACCCTGTAAGTGGGGCCTGCAGTGGGTCAGTGTATCCACTAGCCTGGGTCTCCCTCTGTTGGTGCCGCTCGGCAGGAGACTGAGAGCCCGGAAGTCCACTTGTGGGAGTTGCCAGGTGGTAGCTCGGAGATGTTGGTCCCTTTTAGCTTGGCCAGTTAGAGACGCCCTGGGCTTCTCAAGAAGTGTGAGGGAATGAGCGGTCACCAGCACAAGGCCTCGGAATCTGACAGGTGTAGGTGACAATCCGGGCGCGTTCGCAACGCTTTGTTGACTGGGCCATATAACCCCCCTAAACCTCAGTTTACTTTGTAAAATAGCGTTCGTAATAATCGTACTTTAGAGAGTTGTGAGGATTATCGGCGAGAATGTATGTAAAGCCTTTGCTACAGCATGTAGAAATGTTCTTAGCTTTTTCTTTCTCTTGAGGTGATGTTTTAAATGCGTTCAGAAAATATTTATTGATCTCCTAAATAGTCCTACTGTTATTTCTTGAGATTTGCCTGGGTTAACAGCCAATCAAAATAAAAAGTTCTTCTTTTAGTCATTAATTCAGAGATTTTTGCGCATCTGCTATATACTCCTTCAGGTACGGGAACTGCAAAGATGAATAAGATGATGATCTGATTGGGGAACAAACATAAACGATGTTATTTATATTAGTTGCAGGCTAGTGAGAAGTGACAAACCACATGGAATATAAAGCATAGAGCACTTTTTTTTTTTTAGTATAGACATACTAAATATTTCTTAATTTGATTTAACAAATGTGTACCTTTATCAAATGATGGGAAGCTTTATATTGCTTGACATTTTATCTGGAGGAGAATTTTTAGACTCTGCATGATAAGTTGAGTATGTGTATATTCTATTTTTCTTTTCCTGCCCAAAGTGTCCATAGGACTGAAAAGACGATGGAAGGTCATAGTTACTTAAGAGAGGAGGAATTCTTGCAGTAGATGGCAGAGAACTGTTTGAAAAGCAATATATAGTGGAAGCAGAAGTGAAGCCCTTTTTCTGAACAGAAATGTACAAAAACATTCTACTCCTGCTGTCACATCATAAAATCAGAATAATGAATTTGTTTTCCCTTCATATTTTGCAGAGTTGTTGGTCTAGATGAGTTTTTAACTCTAACTCATTTAGAAGATTGGCCTACTTGTAAGTTGTGTGACCTTGGCCACATTACCTTCCTGGTCTCAAAAATGAAGATAATAATTTTACCGGTGTTTTGGGATTTTGGTAAAGATAAGCCTTAATAAAGTGACTCTGTAAAATTATAAGTCATTATTATCTCCCGTTGGTGGCCATAATATCTGACTTTCTCAGCTGTGATGTTGGAGTGGGATAGGGTATATGTCCTGGTGGGCATTGTGGTCTTAAACCTGGATGAAAGATATGGCAGTTAATAATTATCTGTGTGTAGTAACTGTCCACAGATTGATCACTAGTTGGTGTGTAATTCTTTGTGTTAGGGTAAGCGTACTGTTTGCTTTAGACTGAAGAAAAAATAATGGAATAAAAATAGCAACAATATTCATTGAGTCTTTTTTTTTAAATAAAGATTTAGAAAAAAGCAGTAATAAAAGAATGCTGGGGATATTAAAAAAATGAAAGCCTCTTAAAAAATTAAAAGCTAATAAAATTAATTTACTTTATAGTAATAACTGAATACCTTTTATTATTATCTTCCTAAAAAGTGAGATTTTGGTTAATGGTGGAATCCTAACTGATAAATGTTATGTAATAACTGTTGGTTTTTAAGAATTTGCACGTTTACCAAGTCATGGTTTCATACTATGAGCAAAACTTTTTAAGTTGTTATGAATTTTGATTTTCTGAACAGAAAGCCCAAAACGAAAAGAGCCAAGAGATTCCTTGAGAAGAGAGAACCGAAACTCAGTGAAAATATTAAAAATGCTATGCTGATTAAAGGGGGAAATGCAAATTCCATGGTGACACAAGTACTTAAAGATGTGGTATGTATATGTGTATACCTTTATTTATTTATTTATTTTTTAAAGAATTTTATTTATTTGACAGACAGAGATCACAAGTAGGCAGAGAGGCAGGCAGAGAGAGGAGGAAGCAGGCTCCCCACTGAGCAGAGAACCTGATGCGGGGCTTGATCCCAGGACCCTGGGATTATGACCTGAGCCAAAGGCAGAGGCTTAACCCACTGAGCCACCCAGGTGCCCCTTATTTTTTAACTTTTAAAAAAGATTTTGTTTTTAAGTAATCTTTACACCCACTGTGAAGTTCGAGCTTACAACCCTGAGATCATAAGTTGCATGCTCTACCAACTGAGCCAGCCAGGCATCCCTGCACACTTATTTTTCAAATGGTATTGAAATTATTTTAGGACCTTTTCTGCATGCTTGTTTAGGCTGCTGCAGAAATACATGGATAAGTTTGCCTTGCCTTAAGAACTGCTAGCCTTAGGCTCAGGTTGGAGGTTATTTGCCTTGGCAAGCCACTAACCACTGGTTTTCCTTCAAGCACCTACTGTAGTTCCCTTAGTAAATTTCAGCTGGTTTCAATTACTAGAATTTGGTTTACTTGCATTTAAGGAACATAGCTAGTTTGTAAAGTGAAGTAACTGCATATTACTGTCGATTCCTTCAGCAATACCAAGTACTATGCTAGGTGCTGAGGGTTAATAGTTACATAAGACACATCTATCCCTTCAGGGAGCTTAAAAAGAGAGACAGGCAAGTAAGGCTTTATAGCATTGTGAATTAAGTGCTGTGCTGGAGGCATGGGCAGGGTAGGCTGGGAGGCAGAGCTAATCCCATAAGGGTAGCCATGTACCTGGCTTCCCAGAGGAGACACTTAAACTTCATTTTGAAGGAGGAGTCACAGCAAGTAGGAGGAGAGGAGGGAGAGGAGGAAGTCTTCCAAGGCTGATGACAATACCTGTGCAAAAGGGAATGTGAAGGAGCGTGTTGCATTTGGGGAACTGTAGATAATTGTGGATGGCTAAAGGGGAAATGGGCTCGATGGAGGTAGAAGAACAGACAGAGATCAGATAGTAACATGGAATTTGAGCTTTGTTCAGAAAGCTCTAAGGAACCATCGAAAGATTGGAGGTGACAGACATGATCAGCTCCTTTAATCGGTTTGACCAGAGAAAATTGAGAGCAAATACGGGAAACTAATTCTTCCATTGTCAGGCAGGTAACGAGTATCTGGAGTGTAGTAGTGCTGGTGAAAATGAGAGATGATCAGAGAGACTAGATGTTGGGTGTAGAAGGGTTTGGGCATGGTTTCTGGGTTGGATTCTTGATGAGTGCTAATGCCAATTAGAGAATATACCAGCTGAAGCAGGTTTGGACAGACAGGTGGTGTGTTCAGTTCAGGATCTGTAATATAAGTGTGATGATAAAAGCTTTATGTTTTTTTCTGCCTCTGTAGTCTGATGTTTAGCCCAGTGTGTGGCACATAGTACATGCTCAGTAAATCTTTCATCAGTGAATGAAAGGCATAGTCTATGGAGATACCTACTTGGTGGTTGAAAATTTAGGCCCTAAATATAGCAGATAGTTTCTTTGAGTTAAATCAACTAAGTAATTGAATAGATTTTTAAATTTGACTAAACTCTCTGTGCTTGCTTGTTAAATACAGTAGTTCAGATATCTAAATGTCTAAAAGATGCTCATCTAGGGCGCCTGGGTGGCTCAGTGGGTTAAAGCCTCTGCCTTCGGCTCAGGTCATGATCCCAGGGTCCTGGGATCAAGCCCTGCATCGGACTCTCTGCTCAGCAGGGAGCCTGCTTCTTCCTCTCTCTCTGCCTGCCTCTCTGCCTACTTGTGATTTCTGTCTGTCAAATAAATAAAATCTTAAAAAAAAAAAAACTTCAACAGATGCTCATCCTTTCTGTATCAGTGTCATTGTGTTGGTAGGATCCTGGCCCTGTATTTAAGTAAGCTCTAAGAATAGCACAATATTACAGGTAATTGCGGTAATTTAATATTTATATTGATGATTCCTGAGTTGTCACTGTGGTCATGTGCATTACACCAAGGCAGGGAAACATTTGGTCAAGAATTATTAAAAGTTTTAGTACTGAAGAGGTACCTGGCTGGCTCCTTCGGAAGACATTCATGAGTTTGAGTCCCACTTTGGCTATAGAGATTAATAAAGCAAATAAATAAACTTTAAAAAAGTTTTAGTACTTAAAAAGATAGGTTTTATTGCTTAATTTCCTTTGTTCATCAGCTCTGATTGTTGATGAGTGATCATTTTTCTTTTCATTGTTTTCCTCATTTTCCCCTTCCCCTAATGCAAGGGAAGGCCTTAGATCTTTGTTATTCCTTATGGTAGAGCAGAACTAACCATATAGGGAACAAGTGATTATTAGTGAGTGAGTGGAAAGAACTAAAAAAAAAAATGAAAAGAGGGTTGAATGACAGGAATTTTTTAAAGGGCTGTGTTTAAACTCTCGCCTAGAATTCTGATTGTTATTACGGGCATTCTTTCTCCGTTCTCTTATCTCCAGACAGCATTATTTCAACTCTGTCAGCCTTTTTTTTTTTTTAAAGATTTTATTTACTTATTTGACAGACAGAGATCACAAGTAGGCAGAGAGGCAGGCAGAGAGAGAGAGAAGGGGAAGCAGGCTCCCCGCTGCGCAGAGAGCCGGATGCGGGGCTTGATCCCAGGACCTTGAGATCATGACCCGAGCTGAAGGCAGAGGCTTTAACCCACTGAGCCACCCAGGCGCCCCTCTGTCAGCCTTTTCTGATAGGATTTATTTTTATGTTTTCTTTCTACTCTCAAATAGTTTGGAATCAGTAGACTCTAAAGAAATGAAAGGAATTCTATAAGTTGGATAGATTTTTGAAAGGGCCTAGAAACTTTAGATTAAGAAAGTCCAGTCTTAAGTTAGGTTATTGAACTTAAGTTGCAGGTTTTAATAGGTGATTAAAAGGGAGCCAGGCAGGAGACATCAGAATAGGATTCAGGGACCAGGTAATCTTGTGTAATGACGGATACAATGCAATTTAATTTTTCCATCTGGTTTTCAGAATGTAATTTGTTTTGAAAGCTATAAATTATGTTTTACAGTATGCCCTGAAAAAACCGTATGGCGTTCTGTATAAAAAGTAAGTAATGACTTGTTTTATTTTGACTTACACTGTTCTATTATAAAAGTAGCAAACAATTGCATTATGGGAAATTTAGAAAAGTATTTTGTTTAAAAAACATGATAGTTCCTTACATATATATAGCTATTAGTATTTTTAAAATTTATTTTTTTCCTGTGTGTTTTCGTTTGTATTGAATACTCACATAGTTGTAATTTTAGCATATATGTATTATTTTGAAGTAATTATGGACTTACAGAAGAGTTGCAGAAATTTGTAGATTTTTCATAACCTTCACCCAGTTTCTCTTAATGTTGCATCATACATAACCATAGTATAGTTACCAAAAGTAAGAGATTAACATTGGTACAATAATGTTAACTGGACTGTAGACGTGATTTGGTTGTACCAGTTTTTCCAGTAATATCCTTTTTCTCTTCCAGGATCCTGTATTGCATTTAGTTGTCATGTCTCCGTACTCTCCCATTTGTGACAGTTCCCCAGTCTTTCCTTTTTTGATGACTTTGACACTTTCGATGAGTACTTGTTAATTATTTTGTAAAATGTCCCTCACTTTGGATTTGTTGTCAGTTTCTCATGAGTAGATTGAGACTTACGCATTTTTGGCTGGAATATCACAAAAGTGATGTGCTTTTCTCTATAAATCATACCAGGGAGTACAGGATGTATTAATGCTGGGAGCATTAACCTCAGTTAAAGTGGTGTCTCCTTGGTTTCTCCACTATAAATTTACTGTTTTTCCCTTTGTAATTAATAAATATTTGGAGGAAATACTTTGAGACTCTGCAAAGATTATGCAGATAGTCCTCTTTCTCCTTACACTTTACTTATTCATTTTGGCACCCATCAATGGATTTGTCTACAGAGATGATTACTCTGGTGTTCTTCTGGTGGTTTCTATCTTCCTCATTCCTTCTTCATTTATTAATTGGAATTTTGTGAGGAAAATCTCTCTCTCTTCCTCTGTTGAATTGCTCATTTATGTTAGTGTGGACTTACAGATATTTATTATATTCTTTGGACTTAAAAATCCAATGCTATCATTATTTTGTTGCTCAAATTCTGCCTTTGGCCACTGGGGTCTCTTTCAGGTTGGTACTTGTGCTTTTTCAGCATGTGTTTGAGTACTTCCTTTTTGGCGCCACAGGATGCCTCATGCTCATCTTTTATTTTTCCTTACAACAGCCCTGGAATCAGCCCCTTCTGTATGGAGCCCTGTTTCCATATATTGGAGACATACATTGGATAATTTAGAAACAAAGATCTGGGCACTAAGTATGCTCTGTTGTTATGGGAGTGTCATTGTCTCTAGATCCCTTCAGCAGACAGAGCTTAAAATATGTATTATGCATATTAACCTATGCATGCATGCACATCTAAATTTATATTTATATATTTTAAAGACCCTCAGTTATTATCGATACTAAAAATCAAGCATTCATACTGATACTTCCAGTTCCAGCCCAGTGCCACAGACCTCATTCCAGCCTTTCTTCTTTACTCACTTCCTTACTTGTAACCTTTTTGTTCTGGCCTCAAGAAACCTGGCTTTCATTATTGATAGTATACATATTTATTTAATTGTGTGATTCTAATACATACATAGTTACAGAATTTCTCATCCTATAAGAAACAAATTAACTAGAGTTCAGAATGTGTGTGTAATTTTTCTGTCTTTAGCTTTAGAATATCCAGTTCAAATACTGGTTCCCAATCTAATACAGGTTTGTATTTTTTCTGCCTCTTTAATGTGATTGTTACTCCTTCAAACGACAATTAGGGTCATTTATTACAGTTTGTATTCTGTTTTGGGTTTTTCTCCACATCCTGGTGGTGGTTTTAATTTACGTGTGTAAAATTTACTCTTTCTGGTGTACAGTTTTGTGGGTTTTGAAAAATGCATTGAATTGTGTCTGGCACTACAGTTCGTGATACAGAGATAGTTCCATCATCGTGAACCTTTGTGCAGTGTGCGCTTGTAGTCCACCCCTCCCCTACCCCTTTGACCAATGAACTGCTTTTCATCCTTAAAGTTTTTCCTTTTTCTGAATGTCACATAAATGGAATCATACAACAGGTAGCTCTTGGAGTCTGTTTTCTTTCGTTAGCAAAATACCTAAAAATTTTCTGTGCTGTTGCCATACATTAAATTTTATATCAAGCCTTTCTCATATTATAAATGTTTTTCTTTTTCTTTTTTAATTTTTTTTTTTAATTTTTTAAAAGATTTTATTTATTTATTTGACAGAGAGAGATCACAAGTAGACAGAGAGGCAGGCAGAGAGAGGGAGAGAAGCAGGCTCCCTGCTGAGCAGAGAGCCCGATGTGGGGCTCGATCCCAGGACCCTGGGACCATGACCCGAGCCGAAGGCAGCGGCTTAACCCACTGAGCCACCCAGGCACCCCTATAAACGTTTTTCTATTGATAGGTGATCCTTTAGATATTATTTTCATTGCTAGTATAATGCCTATTAAATGGTTATATTAAAATTTACTTGTAACTTAATTTGGGGGAATTTAGGTTTTCCTTTTTTGCTGTTATAAATAATGCCAAAATGGCCATTTTACACAAATGAATTATCCTTTTGAATTAGTTCTTAAATGAGATTCCTCCCATCAGTAGTGCATATTAATTATATTGCTTTTTGAAAAGATTGTCCTTTTGGCAGAGTGTAATATACAAGTTCCATGGACCATTACCTTCTTTGGTTTATATTTTTAAGAAGTGAAAATCATACTTTGTTTAATTTGAATTTTCTGTGTTTCCAACAGGCCATATTTGCTTATTTGTGAATTACAGTTAGCTATTAACCATAAATGCTGCAATAATTTTTCTTGTTCTGTTTGCCTTGCATCATTAAAAGTAATATTCTTTTTTTTTTTACTGACTATGAAGGTAGTACGTATTTCTCTTAGATAATCAGGATAATGGATAATGGAGTAAATAATCACTATGTACATTCTGACATATTTTTCCCCTGTATGTATATATATATTTTTTGAGTATAGTTGACACACAATGTTACATTAGTTCCAAGTGTAAAACATAGTGATTTGACAAGTCTTTACAGTATGCTTTGCTTACTAGAACTGTAGTTATCTGCTGTCACTATTATGATACTGACTATATTCCTTATACTGTATCTTTTATTCCCATGACTTATTGGTTCCATAATGGGAAGCCTATATCTCCCACTCCCCTTCACCCATTTTCACACACATTTCACATTTTCACATTTATTCTTTTTTTTAAGAATTATTTATTTTAAAAATAAGTGTGTGAAGTGGGGAGGAGCAGAGGGAGAGAGAGAGAATCCTCAGACTCCCCATTGAACATAGAGCGGGAGGTGGGGCTTAATTCCAGGACCCTGAGATCATGATCTGAGCCAAAATCCAGAGTTGGCTGTTAAACCAACAGAGCCACCCAGGAGTCCCTATTTTATTCTTTAAGCAAAATTGAGATCATGTTGTATATAGATTTTGGTTCATAAAAATTAATGAGCTATTTTATAGAAACTTCATTTACATAATTAGAAATCAGAAATTATAAGTGAAAATATAAACACTCTTCCTAGAACAACCCCCTCTCATTAGTTTCTTACATATTTTACCAGAATTTGTTTATGCATATTTAAGCAAAGAAAAATATTTATTTGTATTTCTTTCCCTTTTGCATGAAAGATAGCATGTTTTGGGCGCCTGGGTGGCTAAGTGGGTTAAGCCTCTGCCTTCGGCTCAGGTCATGATCTCAGGGTCCTGGGATTGAGTCCTGTGTCGAGCTCTCTGCTCAGCAGGGACCCTGCTTCCCCCTCTCCCTCTGCCTGCCTCTCTGCCTATTTGTGATCTCTCTCTCTCTGTGTCAAATAAATAAATAAAATCTTAAAAAAAAAAAAAAAGATGGCATGTTTTGCCCACTGCTTCTCCAGCTCTACTACTAATGTTCCTAATCCAGTGCACCATTTTCTTCTTTCCCTTCTGGATTATTGCAATAGCTTCTTACTAACTCTTTAGTTTCGCCATACTATATTACATTCTTACATAGTGCACAGAGCAGTCCTTTAAAAAGAGAATTTGAGTCCAGTGTTACCACTCCTGCCTGAAACTCTTCAGTTCTTCCCATTACTCTGTTAATATCTACATTACTTACCTTGAACAACAAGGCCCTACATAATCTGGGCCATGTCCTTGTCGTTGACCTCATGCCCCACCATTCTCCCTTTGCACACTAAGCTTCAGTGACACTTGCCTTCTTTCCATTTCTTGAATAGTCTAAGCTTGTTTCCATCTCAAGATCTTTGTTTATTCTGTTCCTTCTTCCTTGAATACTCTTAGCCTCAGAATTTTTCAATGACTTATTCATTATCTCAGCTCAAATAGTCATTTTCTACTCTTCATACTAATAGAATACCCTATTTTATTTTCATCACTGCATTTATTATTGAAATTTTTATTTTCCCACTAGAATGTGGGCTCCATGAAAGCAAGGAAAGCAAGGATCTTGATTGTTTTCTAGGATCCTTAGCTCTTACAACAGTGCCTGGCTCATAATAGGCACTAAATATATATTTGAATGAATGACTATCCCTCCAGCTTTATTTTTGATTATCTGAATATTAAGTTATCCTTATTTAATATATTACTTAATTGTTATGGGTGAATTGCTATTAAGATTGTTAAAATTAAGGTCACCTTTTAAAAATATTTTTAGGAAAAACATTACAAGACCATTTGAGGATCAGACATCATTGGTGAGTACAAGAATCTTTTTTTTTCTTTTTAGTTTATTTAGAGAGAGAGCATGCATGCAGGGAGGTGAGGGGCAAAGGGAGAAGGAGAGAGAATCTTAAGCAGACTCCATACAGACTCAGACCCTGAGATCACTATCTCAGCCGAAACTAAGAATCCGTCACTTAACTCATTGTGCCACCCAGGCACCCCAAGAATCTTTCTGATTTAAGAGAATATGTAAATGATTATTCAGACTAATTGTATTCTTTGAGTACTTCTAATCTGTGATGTTTCTGAATTAGAAATCATCCTATATGAGGGAATTTTAATGTGAAGTAGAAGGGAAATAAGACATTTATTTATTATTTTGAAATAAGAACCTTTATATTTTCAAAATATAACTATAGATCTTGTATCTCACTATGACCAATATCATTCACTGCTTGCAAGTATATTGACAGAATTTTTAAAAGCTGAATTATATTTTATGTGCATAATTAATAGATTATCAAGAGGAAGCTTGTTATAAGTCTTTTTATTTATTTATTTTTAAATTTTATTTATTTATTTATTTATTTTTAAAATTTATTTATTTGACAGAGATCAAAACTAGGCAGAGAGGCAGGCGGGGGGGGGCGTAGTAAGCAGGCTCCCCGCTGAGCAGAAAGCCCGATGTAGGGCTCAATCCAAAGACCCTGAGATCATGACCTGAGCTGAAGGCAGAGGCTTTAACCCACTAAGCCACCCAGGCGCCCCTATAAGTCTTCCTTTTTTTTTTTTAAAGATTATTTATTTATTTATTTGACAGACGGAAATCACAAGTAGGCAGAGAGGCAAGTAGAGAGAGAGGAGGAAGCAGTCTCCCCGCTGAGCAGAGAGTCTGATGCGGGGCTCCATCCCAGGACCCTGGGATCATGACCTGAGCCGAAGGCAGAGGCTTTAACCCACTCAGCCACCCAGGTGCCCCCCATAAGTCTTATAAAGCATGTTTGATTTTTAAAAATCCGACTTCTTTGAGTATTTTTAGAACAAGGAATGCTACCTGAATTGTTTCTAACAATTGCCAGTTGCTTTACTAATCAAATCCCTATTTGAGTGTATTGGCAACTAAACTAAATGAAAAAGGCTAGTGAATGAAATCAGAAGATAAAGGATGGTATTTAGTAAATGGAGAATGTTTAATGGACTTTGGGTATGTGATGGTATATATATTTTTTTTTTTCTAAAGAAAATCTTAAGAGAATAAGTGGTTTAAACTAAATCAACTTTAAAAAGGGGCACCTGGTGGCTCAGTTGTTAATCCTCTGCCTTCCGCTCTGGTCATGATCCCAGCATCCTGGAATCAAGTCCTGCATCGGGCTCCCTGCTTGGTGGGAAGCCTGCTTTCCTTCTCCTAGTCCTCCTGCTTGTGTACCCTCTCTCACTGTGTCTCTCTCTGTCAAATAAATAAATAAAATCTTTAATAAATAAATAGAGAAATAAATAGATAAATAAGTTGACTTTAAAAAACTCAGAATGGGGGATGCCTGGCTGGCTCAGTCAGTATAGTATGTGGCTCTTGATCTCTGGGTTTTGAGTTTAAGCACCACCTTGGGTGTAGACCTTATTAAAAAAAAAAAAAAAAGATTAAAAGATACTGAAAAAAAAATTGGAATGGAATTATGTTCTCTTGAGGGGAACACCAGTACTTGTTTTTCCCTTTTAGTTAGTGAATTTATTTTTTAAAGATTTATTTATTTTAGAGTGAAAGAGAACATGCGTGTCTGTGCACATGAGCAGCGGGGAAAGAGCAGAGGGAGAGGGAGAGAATCCTTAAACAGATTCCCCGATAACTGAGCGGTGCCCAACACGGAGCTTGATCCTGGAATCCTGAGATCATGATCTGAGGTGAAATCAAGACCCAGATGCTTAACTCTCTGAGCCACCCAGCTCTCTTATTGAATTAATTAATTAATTAATTATCAAAAAGATTTTATTTTTTTATTTGACAGACAGAGATCACAAGTAGGCAGAGAGGCAGGCAGAGAGATGGGGGGAAAGCAGGCTCTCTGCTGAGCAGAGAGCCCGATGGGGGGCTGGATCCCAGGACCCTGAGATCATGACCTGAGCTGAAGGCAGAGGCTTAACCCACTGAGCCACCCAGGCACCCCTCTCAGTGAATTTAAAATAAAGAACTTTTCAGTAGAATTTCAATAATTAATTAGAAGACTAAAATTGAACTTCTCCTAATGTAGCAACTAACTGCGTTGAAGATTATAACATATTTAGAAAAATCAATATTCAGTGTTTTTAAAAATTGTTTTTTTATTATAATTTTTTTTTGAGATTTCTTCTCTTTTTATTTTTTATTTATTTTTTTAAAGATTTTATTTATTTATTTGACAGAGAGAAAGATCACAAGTAGGAAGAGAGGCAGGTAGAGAGAGAAGGGGAAGCAGGCTCTCTGGAGCCTGATGTGGGGCTCGATCCCAGGACCCTGGGATCATGACCTGAGCCGAAAGCAGAGGCTTAACCCACTGAGCCCCCCAGGCGCCCCTAAAAATTGTTTTTTAAAGATTGTATTTGAGAGAGAGGGAGAGGGAGATAGCATGAGTAGGGGGAGGGGCAGGGGGAGGAGAAGCAGACTCCCCACTGAGCAAGGAGCCTTGATGCAGTGCTTGATCCCAGGACTCTGGGATCATGACCTGAGCTAAAGGCAGACACTTAACCAACTGAGCCACCCAAGTACCCCTTTAAAAATTTTTTTTTTAAAAGATTTTATTTGAGAAGGAGAGAGAGAACAATGAATGAGGTGTGGGGAAGGAGCCAAGGGAGGAACAAGACTCCTCACTGAGCAGGGAGCCTGATGTGGAGCCCAACCCCAGGACCCTGGGAGTATGACCTGATCCGAAGGCAAATGCTTAACCAACTGAGCCACCCAGGTGTCCCTCTGTACTTCTTTTTCAATCCTATTTTGATATGATGGTTTTTCTTACGCTTGATATTGTGCCTTTCCTCTCTTGGGTATTCCACCTCCAGAGACAGGAGATATTTCATTGGATGTAAAAATCTCAGACTAGTAGAGCTCAAAATGGCTGTGGCAACGGTGGCCAAGTTGGAAATGTGGTTGAATTCCTCCTCCTGACTATGTATCCCTCCAGTAGGACGTTTTTTTTTTTTTTTTCCAAGCACATTTCTTATACTATAATTTTGGAACTGTGCATTAGAACAAGAGTTAGCAAATATACCTCCTGTGGGTGAAATCCCTGTTTCTGTGAGACCCATAAACTAAGAATGATTTTTGTATTTTTATTTTTTTTAATTTTAAAATTAAAAAGAAAAAGATTTTACTTATTTATTCCTGAGAGAGAGGCAGAGGCAAATGTGGGACTCGATCCCAGGACCCTGGAATCATGATCTGAGCTGAAGGCAGACGGTTAATCGACTAAGCCACTCCACCCTGATTTTTGTATTTTTAAAGGATTTCTTTTTTTTTTTTTTTTTAAAGGGTTTCTTTATAAAAGGCCTAAAAATACTCTATGGCCTTTTGCAGATAATTTGACTATGCTTGCTTTAGAATTTTAACAAAAGGTAGACTTTTATGTAGAACAACAACAGAGATGAGTACTATATATATGTGAATGGTAGTTTATGGATAGCTTTGGGGTGTTAGTCATAGTAAGAGAATGTAAAAAAAAAAAACATTTTAAGAAAGCATTTTCATTTCTTTGGACACTTAAAAAAAATTTTTTTTTTTTTTAAGTAGGCTTCATGCCCACATTCTGCAGAGCACAGAGTTCAACACAGGGCTTGATCCCACAACCACGATATCATGACCTGAGCTGAAATCAAGAATTGGAGGCCTAGAGGTTCCTGGGTGACTCAGTTGGTTAAGCGGCTGCTGCCTTTGGCTCAGGTCTTGATCTCAGGGTCCTGGGATTGAGTCCGGAGTCGACCTCTGCTCTCAGCAGGGAGTCTGCTTCTCCCTCTCCTTCCCCGCCTGGCCCATACTTGTGCACGTGCTTTCTCTCTCAAATCTTTAAAAAAACAGTTGTGGGCTTAACCAACTGAGCCACCCAGATGGCCCTATTCATATGTATTTTAAATGGATGGTAAGATGTACCATTGATGGTAGCAGTAATGTCTAGTGAATAAAGGCCTTTGTTCAGTAAATGAAATACTCAGTGTGCTGTTCTAAAACTGCATAGCTGAGAATAAATACTCTCATTTTATTTAGTAATCTAAACTTAAGCATGTTTTTAGTCTTTTTTTTTTTTTTTAAAGATTTTCTTTATTTGACAGAGAGACAGCAAGAGAGGGAACACAAGCAGGGGGAGTGGGAGAGTGAGACACAGGCTTCCTGCTGAGCAGGGAGCGGGATGTGGGGCTCGATCCTAGGACCCTGGGACCATGACCTGAGCTGAAGGCAGATGCTTAATGACTGAGCCACCCAGGCAGCCAGCACATTTTAGTCCTGAACTTATTTCTTTTCCTTAGGTACACCCAAATCAGAAAATCGTAGTAAAAAGCTAGAAATAAAGTCCCTTTCTCTCTGCTTATTCCTATCTAGTTCATTAAGTATTCATTACTTTTTTTAAAGTTCAGAGGTACGATTCTTAAAGTGCTTATATTAATGCATTAATTAGAGGTTTTTTTTGGTTTTACAGGAATTCTTTTCAAAGAAGTCAGATTGCTCTTTATTTATGTTTGGCTCCCATAATAAGAAGCGGCCAAATAATCTAGTAATAGGTAAATACCATTTACTTACTTTTTTTCTTTTTTAAGATTTTTATTTATTTATTTGAGTGAGGGAGTGAGCGAGAAGGAGGGAGGGAGAGAGAGAGTGAGAAGGAGGAGGAGCAAAGGGAGGGGCAAAGGGAGAGGGAGAAGCAGACTCCCCACCGAGTGGGGACCCTGATCCTAGGCCTCCAGGATCATGACCTGAGCACAAGGCGGATGCTTAATCATCTGAGCCACCCAGGCGCCCCAGTCATTTACTTTCTAATATTGTTACTTACATTGTCAATTTTGTGACTCAGGTTAATTGATGGTGTTGAGGATTCAGGAGTATCAAGTAAGCTCTAAGCTAGTTTTTAAAAAAATTTTCCTTGTGATTTTGAATAAACCTTTTTATCTACCAGATTGCAGGTAAACAATAGGCATGTAAATATCACTTTACCTAAAGTTGCAGATACTTTCCTAATGTAAAATACAGGTACCTTAAATCAGTGTTAGAGAAGAAAAACACAAAGTAGCATACCTACCATATAAATGAACCCTTCCCTGGTAAGTATTGCACTTGGTCTGGCATGGTCACTGGTGTAGGCAAGTCCTTTTCCTTCTGTGAGCCTTTATTTACTCTTTTTTTTTTTTTTTTAAAGATTTTATTTATTTATTTGACAGACAGAGATTACAAGTAGGCAGAGAAACAGTCAGAGAGAGGAGGAAGCAGGCTCCCTGCTGAGCAGAGAGCCCGATGTGGGGCTCGATCCCAGGACCCTGGGATCATGACCTGAGCCGAAAGCAGAGGCTTTAACCCACTGAGCCACCCAGGCGCCACCGATTTACTCTTATATAAAATAAGGGAGCTTGGCTAAATTTCCAAGATTCTTTCAGGGCCAGGATTGCAACAGTCTGTTCTAGGTGGAGTTGAAAGTTTAAGAAAGAGGGGACATGTTTGGTGGGGTATGAGAGGAAAAAAGAGGCAGAGACTAACACTTTGAACATGCAGATTAAGTGGGTACATGTAAGATGGCTGTTTGGGAAAAATAAATACTTAAAAGAAAATGTATTTTCCTTCTAGGTCGTATGTATGACTATCATGTGCTGGATATGATTGAATTGGGTATCGAGAAATTTGTCTCTCTGAAAGATATTAAGGTAAGATACTAAGCATAAAAATAAAAGGCATTTTGGGGGTGCCTGGGTGGCTCAGTGGGTTAAAGCCTCTGTCTTTGGCTCAGGTCATGATCCCAGAGTCCTGGGTTCGAGCCCCGAATCGGGCTCTCTGCTCAGCAGGGAGCCTACTTCCCTTTCTCTCTCTCTGCCTGCCTCTCTGCCTACTTGTGATCTCTGTCTGTCAAATAAATAAAATCTTCAAAAAAAGAAAAAAAAAAGGTATTTTGTAATATTGCTCTTGGGCAATAGTGACATCTTGTGGTGAAGAGTACTGTTACAGTTTTGTAGTTTAAAGAGAAAGAACTTTATTTTTATCCTGGTGTTTTCTGAGATAAAAGCAAATTTTACTTTACTTTAAAAAGAAGTCGTACCGCATATAACACAAATGTCGATCATCTGGCAGTTAGACTACAGAGCGATTATTAACTCTTGTCTGGGCCCATAGTTTAAATGCTATCCTCTCCCTCTGAATTGTCATAGCACCTATTTTATGGAACCTCAGAAATACCAAGAGTTTGCTTGCTTTCTTTCTTTCTTTTTAAAGATTTTGTTTATTTGAGAGAGAGGGTGAGTGAGAGAGAGCACAAGTGGGGATTGGGGGAGAGGCAGAGGGAGAAGCAGGCTCCCCACTGAGCAAGGAGCCCAATGTGGGGCTTGATCCCAGGACCCTGGGATCATGACCTGATCAGAAGGCAGATTTTTAACTAACTGAGCCACCCAGGCACCTCAGTATCAGAGTTTTCAAAGTGAACCCTGTTCTAAACCTAGGATGCTCTAGGTGACCCTACAGTATTTAGGCTGCTGGCCTCCAAAATGCTGGTTCAGCCCTTCCCTTCAGGACTTTGATCTTTGTGTCTCCTTTGTTTGAATGGGATTCTAAAATAGAAAGGCAAGAAAACTATCCTAATTCAGTTCTTGTGTCCAGATTGGGCTTCTTCTCCTTCAGAATTCTGTTTCTGGCTAATCTGTTCCATCAAATATTCCATCAAATAGTTATTTTATTTAGACTTCATGGCTACCCTATGTAATCCTGAAATTACTTTCTCTGTTGTGTAGAGTTGGAGAGCAGGATCCAGAGGGACTTTATTGGTGATCTGGAGTCATACATATAGTAAATGGTATAATCAAACATTGAAAGAATCATATTGAAGTTTGTAATGGACAGTTACATAATTGTTCTTAGTTTATGGGTCTTTGAGAGTCACCAATGGTATAGTTGAAAGAATTGTAAAATATATGACATGCCTTCCAAGTTTTGTGTGTGTTTGAAAAAGGCTCTTACCAGATCCGGACTAAGCTACAGTAGCTTCCCTTGGTACTGGGTACAAGGTAGAACAGTGGCCCGAGACTGGATTTCGAGGCAGAACATTTGGCTTGCAGGCTTGTGTTGGCCATATAGATGGCTTGTAATGGGACAAGTCTTGACCTTCACTTGCAGTCAAGTATTAAACAGATATGACAATATCGGGGGCACCTGGATGCCTTATTCAGTCAGTGTTTGACTCTTGATTTGTGCTCAGGTCATGATCCGAGGATTGTGAGATCAAGCCTTGTTGGCCTCTGTGCTCAGCAGGGAGTTAGCTTGAGATCCTTTCCCTCTGCCTCTCACCCTGCTCTTACTCTCTCCCTCTCTAAAATACATACATAAATCTTTAAAAAATTAAATAGGTATAACAGTATCAAATGAGGTAATATGTGAAAATGCTAATCAGTGAAGATAGTATTTTGGAAGGTGTTTGGGGAAGTGTATAAACTGTGATGCTTTATTATGGTGGAAGCGATCATTTTATTACAGTTTGTCTTTGCAACGCATGAACCTTTGGAGATGAGCAGCATATCCCCATTTCACCTTCATCACTGCTGCTGCTTGGTCACCTCTTATTGGGTGTGCGCCCTGGCTGATGCGAGCATGCCAACTCCTTCACTCTTTGCATTTTACTTTCTAAGCAAAGAAATTCTTCTGTTACTGTGTAGCTTCTATACCAGACCACAAAATTATTATTGTGAGATCTTTCCTAACAAGAACCATTTAAAAATTAAATACTCAATTTTCACTTATGGAGCATATCCATAACTGTAAAAGTCACTAATTGATGATGATGATCTGCTTACATTGGTAGTTCCTACATAGACTATTTTTTTTAAGTTTTTAAAAAAAATATTTAATTTATTTGAGAGAGAGAACATGAACAGGGGAGGGGGAAGAGGGAGAGGGAGAAGCAGGCTCTCTGCTAATCAGGGAGCTGGATTCAGAGCTCAGTCCCAGGACCCCAGGATTGTAACCTGAGCCGAAGGCAGACACTCATCTGAGGTTGAGCTCCCCCAGGTGCCCACCTCTACAGGGACTATTAGCCAGACCTTCACTTTTACCTCATTATTCCATTATAGCCTTCTATTTTTAGTTTGTTTTGGGATTGCATGTTTTTTATACTTTTCATATTTATTTCCTTTTTATGTCTACCTTTTTATTTTTAAGACCTTTTCAACAGTATTTCTTTTTTTACTTGCCTTATCCTTCCGTTTACTCTCAAGCAACAGGTGATTCGATTCTACCAGGAAATTGAGTGACTGTTCTAGGGCTCTATTTTCTAAGATGTGCCAAACTTCTAGGGATGGTTATTTTACATAGCATAAGCCTTAATGAATGAGATGATAAAATTTAAGGCTAGTTGGTTTTATTTTAGATAGGGTAAGATACATTCCAGGTGCCAGGGGATATTTTATTTGGGAATTTTGTGTGTGATTTATAAAAATTACTTTCCTTTTTTCACTTTGTTTAAAAAAAACAAAACTTAATTCAGGGGCCCCTGACTGGCACAGTAGGTTAAGCGTCCAACCCTTGGTTTCAGTTCAGGTCATGATCTCTGATGGTCATAAGATGGAGCCCCGCATGGGGCTCCGTACTCAGTGAAGAGTTTGCTAAAGCTTTTCCCTCCCTCTGCCCCTCCCTGGGGTCGTGCTCTTCCTCTCTCTCTCTCAAATAAATATGTCTTAAAAAAAGTAATAGTTCAGAAGGTTAGTTCAAGGATGTCACATAATTATGATGTTTTTAGTATAATCATAGTACTTATATAATGTTTTGAATTTTTATGCCTTTCACACTATTCAAATAAAGCTCATGTGTTGTAGTTTCTTCTTGCTCTGGGTTTTCACATTGTGAAAACTATCAGCGACCTAAATGTTAAGTACTGTTTCATATAACTCTGTGAGACAGAGAGAGAGCACAAGCAGGGGCAAGGGGCAGAGGGAGAGGGAGAAGCAGGCTCTTCATGAGCAGGGAGCCCGATGGGGGGGGCTCAGTCCTAGGACCCTTGGATCATGACCCGAATGGAAGGTAGATGCTTAACCAACTGAGCCACCCAGGTGCCCCCTCATTCAGTTACATTTTTATGATGTGTATACTGGGTCATGACTTATCATGATATTTTTTATTACTATGCATTGTGGTCAGGTTGTCCCATCACTTTCTCCTACCTTCTGTATACTTAACCCCATAGACATAGGGGTCAGCACAGACAGAAGGTGGAAGAGTCATTGGGTCTGGTAGGTCTGTTCAGGCCCTCGATCACACAGACAGATCTTAGGCACACCTCCTAAGGATAGACAGTTAAGATTCAGAGTTTGGAAACAGAGTGTCAACAAAAGTGGTCATGGTGAACAGGGAAGCAACAGGTGACCTCTGGTCCTGGGGCAGAGGATGTTTGTTTTCTTGTCTGTTTGTTTGTTTGTTTATTTCTAGATTTGTACAGTTCTTGACTGGAACCAGAGTGGTGGTGCTAGAATAAATGGAAAGCTCAGACTTAACACCTGTTTGCCTTCAGAAATTAATCATTCAGTTAAAGAATTTTTTTAATTAGATTTTTTTCTCCTTTTATTCTGTTTTTTTTTTTTTTTTTAAGATTTTATTTATTTATTTGACAGAGATCACAAACAAGCAGAGAGGCAGGCAGAGAGAGGGGGGAAGCAGGCTCCCTGCTGAGCAGAGAGCCCAATGCAGGGCTCGATCCCAGGACCCTGAGATCATGACCTGAGTGCAAGGCAGAGGCTTAACCCACTGAGCCACCCAGGCGCCCTATTCTAATGGCTTTTAAAGGTTCTTATTATTCATATCATGTTCTTCTTTGTATTAAAAAAAAATCCAAAAGTGGACAAAATACTTCTATAGTAAGAGCTCCAATCATTCTGGTGAGGTTTCCTCATACTTTCTGTAGCTTGTATGAAATTGTTTCTTCCCATTTGTTTAGTTGGTAGTTTAGATTAGTTTTCATTTAAAATACTGCTTATTAAAGTTTTTTAAAATCTACTTGAGAAAGCAAGTGAGAGAGAGAGCACATACACACATGCACCAAGAGGGGGGCAAAAGGAGAGGACCCCAGGACCCTGACTGAAGGCATCACTGAAGAGACTGAGCCGTCCAGGCACCCCTAAAAGTACTGTTTTTTATGTGGTACAGTAGGAGAGGCACAGTGGTAGTAAATAATTCAAAGAAATTGACTTTGTTTAGACTCTGAGATGCTGTCGATTAAAGGGCTATGTATGTTTTGCAGCAATTTTAGCTTTTTAAAAATTCTTTGAATAGAATAATGTTAAAAAGTAGCTTGCATCATTCTTTGACTGCTTATTAATTTGAAAATGTGAGGGAATGAAGCAAAAAACTATAGTTTAAAAGTTGCAACTGTAGTTTTTAGTTTTTAGGTTTTTTGGTAAAGATTTTATTTATTTATTTAACAGAGATCACAAGTAGGCAGAGAGGCAGGCAGAGAGAGAGAGGGAGGGGGAAGCAGGTTTCCTGCTGAGCAGAGAGCCTGATGCAGGGCTCGATCCCAGGACCCTGAGATCATGACCTGAGCCGAAGGCAAAGGCTTAACCCACTGAGCCACCCAGGCGCCCCATAGATTTTTTAAAAAATATATTTTATTTATGCGAAAGACACAGGGATCATGAGCAGGGGGGAGGGGTAGAAGGAGAAGCAGACTCCCCACTGAGCAGGGAGCCTGATGTGGGGCTCCATCCCAGTCCCCTGGGATTGTGACCTGAGTCAAAGGCAGATGCTTAACCGACTGAGCCACCCAGGTACCCCACGTCTTTAGATTTTATCAGTATCAGAGTTTTGGGACAGTCAAAATATGAAAACTAATCAATGTATGTAAGTATTGACTACTGTAAAATCAGCTTATAAACAGTTGAGAATTGATAATTATATCATTATAATTTTTTTTTCCATTTCATAGAATAGTAAATGTCCTGAGGGAACAAAACCCATGTTAATATTTGCTGGTGATGATTTTGATGTAACAGAAGACTACAGAAGGCTAAAAAGTCTTCTTATTGGTAAGCATTTTAATACTTACTATCCTCAGGGTAGCTGAGGTGGGCAATCTAGGACGTCATTGGTGACACTTGGCCACTTCTCTGTAGGTACACAGCTTTTTCTTTTTGATCTTTCTTTTTTCCGTCCTTTTCATTTTTTTATTCCCCACTAGCAGGGGAGAGGTTAAGGATGTTCTATTGCATAAATCATTATAATTTTTTGATGCTATAGTAACTTCCATATCAGCCTATTTATAAAGTATTTTATAAATTATAAAAGGCTTATGCCCATTTCCTGTCATTATGGCATCATTAAATTTAGAAAATTGAAAAGTTTAATTTTCAAGGTGGTTACACCTTGGGGCGCCTGGATGGCTCAGTGGGTTAAGCCTCTGCCTTCGGCTCGGGTCATGATCTCAAGGTCCTGGGATCGAGCCCTGCATCAGGCTCTCTTCTCAGCAGGGAGCCTGCTTCCCCCTCTCTGCCTGCTGCTCTGCCTACTTGTGATCTCTCTCTCTCTCTGTCAAATAAATAAAATCTTAAAAAAAAAAAGTGGTTACACCTCATCCACTTTTTTTTTTTTTTTAAGATTTTATTTATTTATTTATTTGACAGAGAGATCACAAGCAGGCAGAGAGGCAGGCAGAGAGAGAGGAGGAAGCAGGCTCCCCGCTGAGCAGAGAGCCCGATGCGGGGCTCAATCCCAGGACTCTGAGATCATGACCTGAGCTGAAGGCAGCGGCTTAACCCACTGAGCCACCCAGGCGCCCACACCTCATCCACTTTGAACTCAAAAAACTCTATTAATTTTTCTTAGGCTGGTATGCAAGGCTTTTTACACTATAACCCCTTATAATTTGGTTTATTTTGTTTTTTTATCTCTTCCAATTTTCCTCCTTTTTCCATTAAAAAAGTGGTTTATTGAAAATCTATTGTGTACATTCCTATTGTCTTTTCTGATTTCATTCTTATTTACCTAGTTTCTTTCGTTCTTGCAAATTTCAGATCAAGTTTCTTTCTGAGGAAACCTTTAGTGACTTCCCAGCTCCTTTGATCTCATTTTCATTATCATCCTAAAGTGCCACGCATGTACTAGGTACTTCATATGTATTGCTTTATTCTCACGCCCTTGTAAAGTTGTCTTACAGATGACTCATTCTTAGTGAAGTATATTAGTTCCTAATGATTTATGTAATGACTACTTCTTTTTTGTGTGTTCACGAGTTACCTTTTTAAAACTCAGTGTACAGTTATTGTCATTATCTGGGATTGACATTAAATTTACCTATTTTAAATCACTTTCTCTCCCCCCCCTTTTTTTTTAAGATTTTATTTATTTACTTGACAGACAGAGATCATAAGTAGTCAGAGAGGCAGGCAGAGAGAGAGGAAGGGAAGCAGGCCCCCCGCCGAGCAGAGAGCCCGATGTGGGGCTCGATCCCAGGACCCTGGGATCACGACCTGAGCTGAAGGCAGAGGCCCCAACCCACTGAGCCACTCAGGCACCCCTTTCTTTCCTTTTCTGAAAAGCTGGCATTATTGTTCTCTGTAATTTCTTTTTAAAAAATTTTTTAAGATTTTATTTATTAGAGAGAGAGAGCATGAGATGGGGGAGGGTTAGAGGGGGAAGCAGACTCCCCACTGAGTAGGGAGCCAGTGCAGGGCTACATAACCGACTGAGCCACTCAGGTGACCCTTCCTGCACCATTCTTACAAGTTTTGCTTTAGTTTTTTAGTTGCCCTTCTTTTGGATTTTTATATACTTTGCCCTAGATCACTTTTGGAAAGTTGATGGAATATATGTTATAAGTAAATAAATAATAATAATAAACAAGAGATACATATATTTTATATTAAGATATATTTTATTTATAATTATTATATATTAATATTATATAATTATATATAATTATGTTAGGTATAATAATATAAATAATAGTTTATTCAAATCTGAGCCAGTGGAGTGCCTGGGTGGCTCAGTCAGTTAAGCGCCTGACTCTCGGTTTAAGCTCAGGTTATGATCTCAGAGTCTTGGTATTGAGCCCTTTGTTGGGCTCTGTGCTCAGCGGGGAGTCTGCCTGAGGGTTTTGTCTCTCCCTCTGCTCCTCCGACTTGTGTTCTTTCTCTCTCTAAAATAAATAAATCTTAAAAAAACAAAACAAAAATAAATCTGAGCCAACTGAAAAACATTTGTGGGCAGGCACATTGCTTTCATTTTTCCTTGTGATTATTTATGGGCTTATTGTTGGGATTGCAATTTTCAAAACTTTTCATTTCTCTTATTAATAATGGCTATTTTGGGAGTACTTGGCTGGGTTATTTGCAGTAGAGCATCAGACTCTTGATCTCAGGGTCATGAGTTCAAGCCCCATGTTGAATGTAGGAATTACTTTTAAAAAATGACTATTTTTTAGGGGTGCCTGTGTGGCTTAGTCAGTTAAGTGGCTGCCTTCAGCTCTAGTTGTGATCCCGGGGTCCTGGGATCGAGCCCCTGGGATCAAGTCAGGCTTCCTGCTCAGCAGGGAGCCTGCTTCTCCTTCTCCCCCTGCTTGCCTCTCTGCCTACTTGTACTCTCTCTCTGTCAGATAAATAAATAAAATCTTTTTTAAAAATGGCTATTTTTTGAAGAATTAAGTACCGCTGTTACCTGTTCAGTTCTTACTAGATCTCTTGAGTTTAGTGATATTCCATTTTACTGGTGAAATGGAAGTTTAGAGAAGTTAAGAGCTATTAAGTAGGTGAGCCAAAATGAAACCAAAGGCTGAGCTTTTCCGCCTCTGCCATCCATCAGGGCCATGCTAAACAATTGACTTGTTGCAGTCTTTGTTATGGGTTCTTACCTGAATTTTTCATGAATTAAAAAAAAAAAAAAAGAAATTCTGGGGCACTTGGGTGGCTCAGTGGGTTAAGCCTCTGCCTTCGGCTCAGGTCATGATCCCAGAGTCCTGGGATCGAGCCCCACTTCAGGCTCTTTGCTCCGCAGGGAGCCTGCTTCCTCCCCTCTCTCTGCTTCCTTTCTGCCTACTTGTGAGCTTTGTCTGTCAAATAAATAAATAAAATCTTTAAAAATTTCATGAAAGACAATGACTAACATTTTCTTTCTTTCAGTATTACACACCCCAAAATTTCAAGGGTGGTTTTTAGCCAAGATTTCTTGTTCTTGTACTCCATTGGCCCAGGTTTTCTACCTTTTTTTTCGTTCTTCTGTATAATTATTATTCATCAATATATATTTATTAAAACAGAGAAGGCTTTCATTTGGTTTTAAGTTGTTTTTTTTTTAAGTGGTTTTCATAAAAGCTTTATTATTTCATGCTTCCACTAGATGGCAGGAATAACCACATAATGCAGTGGTGAGGGGAAGGGAGTGAAAACCAAAAGGAATCTCAGGAAGAAAGGTGGAGGAATGAAGTGAGATTGTCAGGCCCCAAGGGAAGTTGAGTTTTTAACATAAATATAAAGTAAGACGAGCTGTACACTCCTTGGTGTATGTTTTGTGTTCATATGAAATAAAGTAGAACAGTAGGGAAAGAGAATTTTATCAAGGGCTTGCTTCCTTTTAGGAAGGGTTTTTGTTTTTTTTGTATTTTTATTTTGGTAATTGGCCAGAAAGAAAAGTTAACTTATTAACTTCTGTGTTTTTATGCCAGGTACCCATTTTGTTCATTCTGAATTTTGTTTCTTTTTTGCTTTCTTAAATATGGTGTAGATTTGAGTTATTCTTAGTAGCCTTGCTTTTCTTTATAGAAAATCAGTAAAGATCTATTTTTAGATTTAATGTATCCTAATTTTTATGGTTCCTTTTTTTTTTTTTTTAAAGATTTGAAATATACTTTTTTTTTTTTTTTAGATTTTATTTATTTGTCAGGGACAGAGGGAGAGAGAGCGAGCGAGCACAGGCAGACAGAGAGGCAGGCAGAGGCAGAGGGAGAAGCAGGCTCCCTGCCAAGCAAGGAGCCCGATGTGGGACTTGATCCCAGGACCCTGGGATCATGACCTGAGCCGAAGGCAGCCGCTTAACCAACTGAGCCACCCAGGCGTCCCTTTATGGTTCCTTTTTAATATTACTATTTCTTACATACAAAGATGATAGTAAATCAAGTAATAAGTTAGTTTTATTAAATGTTCCTTTAAAGTCTCTCTTAAAATTTAACTCCTTAAGTGGGTTACTTTTTCTTACTCTTTCTCTTTATCAGCCATCATTTAAATTTTTTTAACCTTTTTCATTTCCTAATTCTTAACTCCTCTTGAAAAATATATAATGATGAAAACAACTGCCATAGTTTAGGTCCGGTAATCTGCAGCCTTACAACGGCAATCATATTAGTTTATTTGGACTGGTATAAAAAATAGCATACACTGGGTGGCTTAAAAACAGAACTTTATTTTCTCCCAGTTATGGTGGCTGAAAGTCCAAGATCAGAATTTCTGATGAGGACTCTTACTGCCTTTTGCCAAGTGCTTACCTGGCTTTTCCTTCATGTCTGTGCGTGGGAGGAAGGGAAGAATGGAGGGTATCAGCTTTGTACAGTCTCTTAAGGACACTATCCTGTGGGACCAGAACCCCAACCTTACAACCTGCCTCATTGAACCTTAATTTCTTCCTTAGAGGCCCAAATACAGCTTCATTAGGGGTTAGGACTTTAACATCTGAATTTGGCAGGGATTGGGGGGTAGAAGGGGAAAACATTCAGTTTATTGTGGTAATAGTACGAGATCAGTTAATTCATTTGTCCAGAGTAAAGAGCTAATAAGTGGTAGAATCAGGATCTGATCTGTTCTCTTAACTCCAGGTCCCCTGATCTTTCCCATCAACACCCTGGTCAGCCTTCTGTGCCCTTTCTCAGTATATTTATTCATGGACATAGCCATGTTTGAGGCCTTATTTTTACTTGGAATTGATCCATTGAATAAAGGTCCAAGCTGAGGCTTTCCTTCTGACCATAACCAATTTAACTTCTACCTCATATACCCCCTTATATTTAACCAGGCTTTTCATCTATATCCTTACTCCTTAATGTCTCTCTCTCTTTTTTTTTTTTTTTTTAAGATTTTATTTATTTATGAGAGAGAGAGAGAGAGCGAGCACAGGCAGACAGAATGGCAGGCAGAGGCAGAGGGAGAAGCAGGCTCCCTGCAGAGCAAGGAGCCCGATGTGGGACTCGATCCCAGGACGCTGGGATCATGACCTGAGCCGAAGGCAGCTGCTTAACCAACTGAGCCACCCAGGCGTCCCCTTAATGTCTCTCTTTATCTCAGCCATCATTCTTGTCCATTTTAGGGTCAGTCTTTTTGGTAGTGTGAGTTTTGACACATTTTAATTCATTGCCCCTTTGATGTTTCAGACTCCTCTTATACCTTCATTGCGCCATTCCTGGTATCAGTTGTTTCTCTAAGGAGCCCTGAACTTTTTTAAATTGAGAAATTATTTTAGAAATTAGAGTCTGGGTGCTAGGAATTGTTTCATGGTTGGCCATTGTTTGTAGGCTTTTTAGTGAACAAAACTTTGAAATTTGTTCGTTCAGATAAAATGTATCCTGAGTTCATACTGAAACTTCTAATTCACATTTAGGGCATTAGGATCTTAACTTCATTGACTTCACATATGAATCTTCTTTCATCCATGACAAACATACGGGTTCTCCATAATCCAAACAATTATGTGTTTATTTTATACTGTACTAACCATACAGTAGTCTCAGAATAAAATACCAGTGTTACTACTGATAATATGAATATTGAGTGCATTGAAAGTTTTGTGGTTTTGTCTATAAAATATACCCTGTTGAGAATATGGTCAGGGGCACCTGGGTGGCTCAGTAGGTTAAACATTTGACTGTTGATTTTGATTTTGACTTGGGTCATGGTCTTGGGGTCATGAACTCAAGCTCTGCATTGAGTATGGAGCCTGCTTTGGATTCTCTCTCTGCCTCCCCTCCCTGCCCCCACTCTCGCTCTTGCTCTCTATCCCTTAAAAAAAGAAAAGAAAAAGAATATGTGGTCAACTCACTCTGTGTATGTGTGTGTGTTTTATGATAGATTTGTTTGTTTATTTATTTATTTATAGACCACAAGCATGGGGCGGGGGAGAGGGAGAGAGGATCTCGAGCAGACTTCACTAGTGTGGAGTCCAGCTTGGGGCTCCCAGGACCCTGAGATCATGACCTGAACAGAAATTAAGAGTCAAATGCTAAACTGACTGAGCCACCTAGGTGCCCCCAAATCACTGTGTTTTGAAGTCACTTAAAATAGTTCTTTTCTGTATGATAATGCTCAGTATACAGGTTCATTTGATTTTTATTTTTAGGGATTACTTTAAATTTTTTTATTTTAAATTATATTTTAAACAATTTTTGAGATATAATTTACTTGTAAGCAAGTCTCCATTTTTTTTTTCAGGGGTTTTTAAAATTTCCTATATTATTTTAAATTAACATATAATATATTGATTGTTTCCGGGGTACAGGTCTGTGGCAAGTCTACATACTTAAAGTTTTTAAAATTTGATGGATTTTGACATATATATACACCTGTGAAAACACCACTGCAGTCAAGTTATAGAACCTATTACACCCAAAAATTAGCCTGTGTCCCTTTGCAGTCTGTCCTATTTCTGTATTTTAAGCAAACATTAGTTTGCTTTCTGTCATTATGGATTATTTGCATTTTGAGGAACTTTAGATAAATCATGCAGTATATGCTTCTTTTGGTTGCGTTAAGATCATCTCCTGTGCCACCAGTGGTATGACTACCACACTATGGGGAAAATAGCCTACTTGTGGATCTCAGTGGTTCTTTTCTGGTGTTAACAATTTATTATCTTTGCTCATATAATTGAGATTTCCGTTAGAATTTCTTTCGTGTTGGCCTCTACGTAAAACAAAGGCTAATTTGATTTAATAGTCAAAGTTTAAACAGCTATTTGGGCTGTGTGTGTGTGTGTTTAAGATTTTATTTATCTGAGAGAATTCAGGGGGAGTAGTAGAGGGAGAAGGACAAACAGACTCCATGTTAGAGTGTGGAGCCCTACGCAGGACTTGATCCCACAACCCTAAGATCATGACCTGAGCTGAAACCAAGGGTCAGAACTTAACCAGCTAAGCCACCCAGGCACTCTTGAACAGCTGTTTTTATAGAAATTTGCCATCTTAAGAAAAAAACAAACAATTTTATGAGAGAGAGAGAAAGTATGTGGGGGCAGGGGCAGAGGGAAAGCGAGAGAGAAAATTTTTTTTTAAGGTTTTGTTTATTCATTTGACAGAGAGCACAAGCAGGGGGGAGCGGCAGGCAGAGGGAGAGGGACAAGCAGACTCCTCGCTGAGCAAGGAGCCTGATGTGGGACTCCATCCCAGGACCTTAGGATCATGACCTGAGCCGAAGGCAAACACTCAACGAACTGAGCCACCCAGGTGTCCCTAGGGTGAGAATTTCAAAACTGAAAAACGACATGGGTCAGTGAACTAAACACAGAAATAAAGTCATGACTTACATGGTAGAGGGGTGGTGTGTCTCTCAGACATTCTCAGGGATTGGTTTTTGTGCCACCCGTTTATCTGTTTAGGTATGTATTCAGTATAGAGCATTTTACAGTCTGGCTTTCTGTAACTGAATTTAAAAGCGTGTTAGTTTTTTTTTGTTTTTTTTTTTTTTTTTAACAACCTTGAATTTGTTTTCAGATTTCTTCAGAGGCCCCACAGTAGCGAATATCCGCCTGGCTGGTTTAGAGTATGTGCTGCACTTCACTGCACTGAACGGGAAGATTTATTTTCGGAGCTATAAGTAAGTACATTTTGTAGGATATTTTTGAATCCAGGGTTAGCATTTTAGTGTGACCTTTGTAGAGCTCAAACTTAGAATTGGTGTTTGGTCAGAAGTTTGTTTGGAGAGTTTGCAAACTCGTAGCGGCATAGCGGGTCTGCGCTGTTCCTCACATCTGTCATTCCCCTGCTCTCTCCTGCCTCTGAACCGCTGCTTTTCCAGGGCCCCAGAGCATCTGATGCGACATTCCTCTGAGCTTAGAACACTAATTCAGTCTTGACCCTACTTTATGCGGTATCTTTTTTTTTTCTTTTCTTTTTTTTAAAGATCTGTTATTTATTTGAGAGAGAGAGTGGGCGTAAGGGGAGCGGAAGGAGAGGAAGTTCCAAGCAGATGCCTCACAGAGCCTGACTCAGGGCTTGATCCCATGAGCCATGAGATCACGACCTGAGCCAAAACCAGGAATTGGACATTTAACTAGCTGAGACATCCAGGTGCCCCCTCCCCTCCCCCCGCTTTTTTTTTAAAGATTTTATTTAGAACAAGCAGGGGAAGTGGCAAGCAGATGGGAAGGGAGAAGCAGGCTCCTGCTGAACAAGGAGCCCCATGCAGGGCTCGATCCCAGGACCCTGGGATCATGACCTGGGCTGAAGGCAATTGCTTAACCCAAGAGCCACTCAGGCACCCCCCGGCTCCTTCTTTATCATGACTGGGTTTAGAACACGAAGACACAAGTCTTAGACCAGCCAAAGCAAATCTCAAAACTCTGAATCTAAAAACTGGAATCTGAAAGGAATGAGAAGATTCAGTGGCTAGATTCATTTTACTCTTTCTCCAGCCTAGACTTTCCAGCTCTATTCTTACCACAGTATAAATGTAAATCCTAACACTGATTTTGTTTTTATTAAAAAGCTTAATGATATGCTGCAATTGTCAAGTCTTTTGGGGTAATCATGAGATATATATATCCGTGTGTGTGTGTGTGTGTGTGTGTGTGTGTACATACATATATATTTTTTATTACATACATTTTTTTTTTTAAGAATTTATTTATTTGACAGAAATTACAGGTAGGCAGAGAGGTAGGCGGGGGGTGGGGTGAAGCAGGTTCCCTGCTGAGCAGAGAGCCTGATGCGGGGCTCGATCCCAGGACCCTGGGATCATGACCTGAGCCGAAGGCAGAGGGTTTAACCCACTGAGCCACCCAGGCGCCCCCACACATTCTTTTTTAAAATAAAGCATTGGCACTGGCTGATCAAGCCCACACTCTCTTGGAGAATGTATTAGTTCCCACAAAGTGCCTCCCTTTGTACATAGGATTGAGACTAATGTCCGTTTTTGAGTTACGGCATGGCAGTGCAGCCTGGAGCCACTGACTGTTCAGTGTTGACAGTGACTTCTTTGTGTTAGCTGTATGTGCAACCATTTGTGGACTTCAGCATTTCATCTACAGTTTTACTTTTTTAAAAATTAATTATTTTTTTAAGGGGTGAGCGAGAGAGAGTGTGTATGTGCCCAGGTGCAGAGCGGGGGAGAGGCAGAGGGAGAGGGAGAGACAGAAAATCTCAAGTAGGCTCCCTGGTTAGCGCAGAGCCCAACATGGGCCCAATCTCACAATTCTGAGATCGTGATCCATGTTGAAATCAAGAGTCAGACGCTTAACCAAGTCACCCAGGTGCCCTTACATTTTTTTTTCAGTGAACTCTACCAACAATGTCTGGCTCAAACCTATAACCCCGAAATCAGGAGTCTCGTGCTCTACCGGCTAAGCCAGCCAGGCCCCTAATTTTGTTCTTTTCTTCACGATGGAACACCTGGTTGACCAGCTTATGTTAATGAATGTCCAAATGAATTTAAATACTCACCTCTTCTCAATAATTCCCATCTTTGCCTCAACTGTATTGAATTAGAGATACTTCGTTCTTTTCACCATGATTGGTATCATCACTTCTGTTTATTTTCCTTTTGTTTAGATAGTAATAATAATAATAATAGACAAAATGCAATAAAATAACCACATGATCGATACTCATTTTTAGTTTTATTTTTATTTTATTTTATTTTTTTAAACAAGAGGGATTTTATAATCATTTCGAACTTGCTGAGATTGAAAGCCTTACGTCTGTTTGAGTTTCCAAACTTAACTTTGGTGCTATGAAGAATATATAAAGTAGATGACTCCAATTTATAGAATTAGAAAGACAAACAATCACTAACATAAAAAAAATATTTTTGAAAACTTACTGTGATCAGCCCACCTGGAGATATAAAGGAGCTAAAAATATAAAGAGTAACATCTTTGAGGATGAGAAATGAATGACAGTAATCTAAACTCTTTCATTGTAAACAGTGTCAAAGAAAGTATTCACTTGTATCAGAACTTGTATTTAGTGAAAAGAAAGATTAATTTGTAAAGAAAGAAATACAGAGAAGATAAAATGGGCAGAAAATTAGCAAATCAGACTTCAGAACATGGATAAATTAAGCAGTGTAATTACACATATCTACCCGTCTACTTACTTTAAGAAGAATTGCTGGAATCACATTAGGTTAGCATAGCATGTCCCACAATGAAAAAAAAAGTGTGAGCTTTTGAGAGCAGAGACCCTAGTGTAAATTTAATCCGAGTTGTTTTATACAGGCCCAGTAATACATGCTAGCTATTGATTTATAATAGAAAATGGACTGTGTGATTGAGAGCAAGCTGCTAGTGGAAAAAAATCATCAAATGTAGATTAGCTTAGTCTGCAGAGGCTGTACTGCTCTTGGGAGAGGAAGGAGGAATTGGTCCGAGGGTTGAGCATCACCTCTGAGCCCAGTAAGCTGGCCCTGGACCGGGCTTGGCTGCATGACTTAGGCAGGTCACTTCTTAGGGCCTCCGTTTTTCCTCTGCAAAAGGTAGTGAGTGATACCATTCATGTGATTCTGTGGTCCCTAAAAGAACAATAGTAATTCCTTTATAAAGGGGAGAAGGGTTGTGGATAGAGGTGGGAAGATGCTGGAGAAGTGTGTCTCACTTAGTGTGGTTCATTAGGCACTCTTGCAAGCTACACTTACGTGTCCTGCCCTCTTCTTTTACTTGGAACCAGCCCTTAAGCAGTTGGTAAAAGGTAATAGTTACCATTGGTGCACATTTGTGAAGTTAATAAGGTTAATCTTAGAAAATGGCTTTGAATTTTTTGGATGATGGAAAGTATAAATATGAAATTATATTAATATGATTTGACCTTTTGGGGGGAATAAATCATTGTTAATGACCTCTTCCCATGTATCGTATAATAATTCCTCATATGTGAGTGACCATTTATATTCCTTGGAGAATTTTATTCACTATAAAGTCAAAGCCATGCATATAAAACAGGAAATTTTTAGTAACTGCCACATTTGCCTTTGCCATGACATTGGTTAGGTTCTATGGGGAGAAATATACAAAACAAGGAAGTATTAGCATACTTAAAAAGCAAACAGCATTGTAGGCAAGGAGTTTAAGTAATGAAAAACAGAACATCAGCAGAAGAGAGGGATATGGAAGGGAGAAAAATAGGGAAATTACAACTTGAACAAGAGTGGTAATGGCAGTCTTCCTCCAGGAATAGGCAAATAATGTTTTATTTTTATTGATTAATTGATTGATTTTATTTATTAGAGCATGCACAAGCAGGAGGAGTGGCAGGCAGAGAGAGAGGGAGAGGCAGGCTCCCCAGCGAGCAGAGGACCCAATGTGGGGCTCGATCTTGGAACCACAGGATCATGACCTGAGCTGAAGGCAGAAGCTTAATGGACTGAGCCACCCGGGCACCCTGCAAATATTGTTTTAAAATATATGGAAATTACCCATCAACATAGCTAATAGCCTGAGCCCATTTGAGAAGGAAAGAGTTGGGATGTCTTTTCATCCCTGCATCCTGAGGTACCATAGAGCCTTGCAGAATTGAATGTCTCTTGATTTAGAGCTTACAGGGAGACAAAACAAAACAAAGCTTGAGGTTAGGATCTGAGATGGAGATTGATAGGCATATGATGTAACAGTTCTGGGTGTAGGCTGGAGACATGATGGCCTGGAAATGAAATGTCTATCTTAAAAAAAAATTGTGGTGTATATGGTGGGATGGGGGTGAAGGAAAGGGTTTTAATCTTCTTTTTATTTATTTATTTATTTATTTATTTTTAAAAGATTTTACTTATTTATTTGATAGAGATCACAAGTAGGCAGAGAAGCAGGCAGGGGACGGGGAAGGGGAAGCAGGCTCCTTGTTGAGCAGAGAGCCTGGTGCGGTGCTGGATTCCAGGACCCTGAGATCATGACCTGAGCTGAAGGAAGAGGCTTAACCAACTGAGCCACCCAGGGGCCCCTTAATTTTGGTGTTTGGTTTTTTTTTTAAATTTTATTTATTTATTTGACAGAGATCACAAGCAGGCAGGGAAGCAGGCTCCCTGTTGAGCAGAGAGCCTGATACGGGGCTCGATCCCAGGACCCTGAGATCATGACCCGAGCTGAAGGCAGAGGCTTTAACCCACTGAGCCACCCAGGCGCCCCTCTAAGTTCTTTATTAATACATTCCCTCTGAGGAAAAGTAAACAGATGGTTTTTTAAAAAAGATTAATAATAATTTTAGATTCTAAACCAGGAAATCAAAGAAAAACTTAAACAATTCATGGAAACCAATGAGAATGAAGACACATTGGTCCCAAAACCTATGGGATACAGCAAATGTGATCCTAAGGGGGAGATAGGTAGCCATCCAAGCCTCATTCAGAAAAATTGAAAAATCCAGAATACACCGTATCTCTTCATACCTTAAAGAACTGGAAAGTCAACAACAAATTAAGCCAACCCCACACACAAGAAGGGAAATAATCAAAATTAGAACAGAGATCAATGAGATCAATACTAGAGATATAGTAGAACGCATCAATGAAATTTGAAGCTGGTTTTTTGAAAGAATCAATAGGATCAATAAACCACTGGCCAAACTAATCCAAAAGAAATGAGAGAGGGCCCAAATTAATCGAATTATGAA